TTTCTGATAGATAGACAAAATACTGCAATTGTTATTATTTAATTGTGGAAAATTGTGGAAAATATAATGTGTATTAAAACAGCAAAGGGAGACAGAAAATTCGGACAGTTTTAACAAATTAACGGAAACTTACCAATTATCAATTGTAGGAGATATCACTTTAAATCACTTTTTAATTTAATTTTTCACTTTTGAATAACAAAAAGTACACAATACAAGTAATATAGGCTTCACAGAAACAGGTTGTTATACGGCGACTGTTATTTACAGACTAATCCATGGATTAGGCATACGTGTCAATATAAAGGCTGGTATTTTACCTGTTGACAGCACAAAGGTCAACCCTTTTTCTCACGAAGAATCCCGTAGTGCAGAAAGGTGCAGGTAACTACTTTGATTATGCAATTAAAGGATTGTGTACGTGTACATTAGTGAATCAGTTACCTTACCATTTGACCTGTATGATGTAAATCAAGAATTGGAAAAGTCTAGGTAGACTGGGTTGCAATATGAAATCAAACTATCGGGTTGTATATACCTGCCCTTGATTCATAAATGTAAAAGTAAATTAAGGTGACTTTCTGTAGGGGCGTAATAACCTGCATAGTGTTCGGCAATATTTGTAAAAGTTTTAGTATGTAGGGTTACAAATAAATATAAAATAAAACTATCAGAGAAACCCTTAACCAGTCGTGGGGTATCAAACTTTAATATATAAAAAAAGACCTTTTGTAAAATAGATGACAGATGTTTTGTATATTTAAAATAAAAAAAAATAATAACTGAATCTGAAATCTGGGAATCTGTTGAAAGGAAAAGATTATGTCAGTATGCCAATCTTATTTGCAAGATCTATATGATTTGTATACAATCTTAAAACATATGATTTCTCCAAAAATGTCAGTAAATGTTTCAAAACGCTTAAGCTGTGTTGATTTGCCTGTTATTTAATGATCATTCTAAGACATCTATATGATATAGTCTTAAAATTTTTATAAAATTAAAACTATTATTCTGAGATTGCTAAAATTTACTATATCTTGGAGTATATGGAAATATTTTAGGAAACGACAAAGTTATAGTTACGAACTGACGGAAGATGTATTCGAATCGCCTGATATAACAATGAAGCTAGGTCGATTTTACTCTCAAGTTTTCGGTCATTTCTATGAAAGCTATATGATATTATTGTCCGATTTCAATAAAAATTAAAACGTAAATCTAAAATATTCAAGATTTACTATATCTTGAAGTATATTTATTTAAATTATTAAACATCGAAGTAATAATTTTTTCTCATTTATTTCATATAATTGTTCCGATTGTTCCTATGGGAGCTATATGATACTGTCATCCGATTTTAATAAAATGAAAACCGTAATTCCATAGTATTTAAATATTAACAAATCCTGAAGAACAAAAAAATTCTTAATACTCATAAAAAATCCAAACTTCCTAACTTTAAAAACACCAAAGTTATGGCATTTTCAATCGTTCAGTTATATGGCAGCTATAAGATATAGTCGGCCGATCCTTATGAAATTTGGTAGGTCGGATTGATTGGCCAAATATAAAACCTGTAGAAAATCTTAACTTTCTAACTTTACAAACACCAAAATTATGGCATTTCCAATCGTTCAGTTATATGGCAGCTATAGGATATAGTCGGCCGATCCTTATGAAATTTGGTAGGTAGGATTGATTGGCCAAATATAAAACCCATAGAAAATCCCAACTTTCTAACTTTACAAACACCAAAGTTATGGCATTTCCGATCAATCAGTTATATGGCAGCTATAGGATATAGTCGGCCGATCCTTATGAAATTTGGTACGTCGGATTGATTGGCCAAATATAATACCCATAGAGAGTCCCAACTTCTTATCTTTAAAAACACCAAAGTTATGACTTTTCCGATCGTTCAGTTATATGGCAGCTATATGATATAGTCGCCCGATCCGGCTCGTTCCGACTTATATACTACCTGCAATAGAAAGACAAGTTTTGCGAAAGTTTCAAGCAGATAGCTTTAAAACTGAGGGACTAGTTTGCGTAGAAACGGACGGACAGACGGACAGACGGACAGACGGACAGACGGACGGACAGACGGACGGACAGACGGACAGACGGACATGGCTAGATCGACTCTCCTGGTGATGCTGATCAAGAATATATATACTTTATAGGGTCGGAAATGTCTCCTTCACTGCGTTGCAAACTTTTGACTGAAATTATAATACCCTCTGCAAGGGTATAATTAAAACTATTATTCTGAGATTGCTAAAATTTACTATATCTTGGAGTATATGGAAATATTTTAGGAAACGACAAAGTTATAGTTACGAACTGACGGAAGTGTCTAATTCGAATCGCCTTATATAACAATGAAGCTAGGTCGATTTTACTCTCAAGTTTTCGGTCATTTCTATGAAAGCTATATGATATTATTGTCCGCTTTCAATAAAAATTAAAACGTAAATCTAAAATATTCAAGAATTACTATATCTTGAAGTATATTTATTTAAATTATTAAACATCGAAGTAATAATTTTTTAGTCATTTATTTCATATAATTGTTCCGATTGTTCCTATGGGAGCTATACGATACTGTCATCCGATTTTAATAAAATTAAAACCGTAATTCCATAGTATTTAAATATTAACAAATCCTGAAGAACAAAAAAATTCTTAATACTCATAAAAAATCCAAACTTCCTAACTTTAAAAACACCAAAGTTATGGCATTTTCAATCGTTCAGTTATATGGCAGCTATAAGATATAGTCGGCCGATCCTTATGAAATTTGGTAGGTCGGATTGATTGGCCAAATATAAAACCTGTAGAAAATCTTAACTTTCTAACTTTACAAACACCAAAATTATGGCATTTCCAATCGTTCAGTTATATGGCAGCTATAGGATATAGTCGGCCGATCCTTATGAAATTTGGTAGGTCGGATTGATTGGCCAAATATAAAACCCATAGAAAATCCCAACTTTCTAACTTTACAAACACCAAAGTTATGGCATTTCCGATCAATCAGTTATATGGCAGCTATAGGATATAGTCGGCCGATCCTTATGAAATTTGGTACGTCGGATTGATTGGCCAAATATAATACCCATAGAGAGTCCCAACTTCTTATCTTTAAAAAAACACCAAAGTTATGACTTTTCCGATCGTTTATATTATATAGTGGCCCGATACGGCTCGTCCCGTCCGACTTATACTACACGCAAAGAAGTTTTAGAGCGAAAGTTTCAAGATAGCTTTAAAACTGAGGGACTAGTTTGCGTAGAAACGGACGGAGAGACGGACAGACGGACAGACGGACAGACGGACAAGGACAGACGGACGGGACAGACGGACGGACAGACGGACAAGACGGACATGGCTAGATCGACTCTCCTGGTGATGCTGATCAAGAATATATATACTTTATAGGGGGGGAAATGTCCCTCTCTTCGTGTCAAAATCTTTGACTGAAATTATAATACCCTCTGCAAGGGTATAAAAATTTGAATGCAGCTTTTTAGAGAATCGAATCAGAAGTCTTTAGAGGTATGCCACTTTGGAATCGGCTTAAGTTTGATAAAGTTATGGACTCTCTAAGTCCAATTTTGAGTCACTCTGTTACAAGTCCTCGGAAAACTAGAAATAACTGACATGAAAATTGGTCAAAAATTTGATCAACGTTAAATTGAAACAAGAAAGGAAAGCTAACTTCGGGCGATAAGATATGAATGTAGCTCTGGGATACCAATATCTAACGGTATTTTCAAACCAAATTTAAAGTAGTTCAGAACCAATTTTGTGTGCTTTTTAATAAACCTTCTTCAAGGGTATAATAAGGTTGGTTATTTAATTCACTGCAAAATGTTGATGGGGCATAGATATGCTTAAGTTGATGAAATATACAGTAGAATCCGGTTATAGCGACTTTCACGGGACCGACGATTTTACGTCGTTATACCCAGAAGACGAACTAACCAAAAGGAGCAAAACAATTTTGACCGTCAAGAAGCTCATTACATTGCATAATATAAAAAAGGAAACAAAGAACATTTTAAAACCAAGAGTCTTTTGTTAAAACAACAGCTTAATCTTTTAAGCAGTGTGCTGCTTAACACTTTTTTCAGCAAGCAGTGGATTCAATAGTCGTTAGGGATGCAAAAACATTGACGAAACATCGATATTGCGATGTTATGAAGACATCGATGCAAGCATCGTTTCTTTTACCAACACTGTTTTTTTCGGGAGTAGCAAAGAGAAGCCCAAACATTGTGGAATATTAGTAAATTTTGTATTAAAACTCAGGAAATAGTGTAAAATACTCGCGAATAAGACAAACATGGCCAACGTGGAGTCTATGATAGTAGAGGAAAAGACGCAGGTCAAACAGATTGACCGTGAGAAGGTTTGTTTGGTCGACCGGCAATGTTTACCTCGCGTTTCCCCTGGATATTTATCTAGTCTTATGTTTTTTTTTAGACCTGCCCGCTGCTGCTCCGAGTTTTCTGCTCCACGGGTCGGCACCACTCCGTCTCCGAGTACATGTTCGGCAATGTGCCCACCAACGAGCTGCAGATCTACACCTGGCAAGATGCCACACTCCACGAACTGACCTCTCTGGTGCGAGATGTCAATCCGGATACCCGGAAGAAGGGCACCTACTTCGACTTTGCCGTGGTGTTTCCCAACTTCCGGAACAACCATTTCCAGATGCGCGAGATCGGAGTGACCTGCACGGGCCAAAAGGGAATCGATGATAATAAGACGCTCGCCCAGGCCAAATTCAGCATTGGGGACTTCCTGGACATCTCCATAACGCCACCCAACCGTCTACCACCCACCGCCAGACGCCAGCGCCCCTACTGATGCCTCATTACAGTCTAATCTAATCATTTTTAATCTTTCACTTGACACTCAATGGAGTATGGACATAATTATAAGTGGAATACAAGTAAGACGACCTATGAGCTGCTTGACTTAAGGGACTATGTGTTCTGGGAATGATCAGTTCCTGTAGATGCCGTTCGGGCGCTTCGACTTTTTCTTGCCCAGCTGCGTCATGTCGATCTCCAGACCGTTGGGCAGCACGGCGCGGTTCTCCTCGTAGTTGATGAACCCGTTCTCCTGCAGCTCCTCCTCAGTGTTTCGATTGTTGGGGTCGCACTTGATTCCCGTCTCGTAGTGGTACTCGCGTTTGTTGCCATCAGGATCGATGTATCCATAGGTGCCCCTGGTGAAAAAAGAGTTGTGAGTTGAGAGTTAAAGACGTATTCTTAAAAATATCAAATGGTATGAAAAATCTCATACTTTCAGAAGAAAAGGTCAAACAATTATTCAGTTTATTATTTACAGCTACTCATTTTTGAGCTTTCCGATTCCAATCAGTTTAAAATGTTTTGAAATAATTGTTCTTTAAATTTTCTATTGCTTTACACTTTATTGAATTGAAATATGTTTAAAACCAATAGTTAGCATTACTCACTTGGTGATGCAGTCTGTGCCGATCAACTCCTCCTTGAAGGATCCATCGTCGTTCTCGTAGCCCCATGTGATGCTTCCATCTTCGTTCTCCTCGCGCCATTTGCGAATGGTCTGGGAAACAGGTTGCCGGCGTCGCTGTTGCTGCTGCTGCTCGGCGCGATCGTCTTGCAGTTGATTCTGATCAATGATGGGACGCGGCTGGACGGGCTTAGGGCGTGGCCTGGCCACAGGCTGTGGTGCTAGTGGCTCAGGACGCAGGACTGCAGCGGACGCTGGTCTCGTTCGAACCACGGCAACTCGATGGGGTTGTGGAGGCGGTGGTGGAGGAGCAGCTGCCGTAGGCGTGGGTCGCTCCAAACCGAATCTCTGTGAGTTTTCGAACCGACCGATTCCAAAGTCGTTGAAGGCGGAAGGACGGTTCAAAGGCGTCGGAATGGAGGGACGTTCGGCAGGGAAGCGAGCAGGAGCGGGCAGGATGGCTGCCGGCTGGGAGTCCTCGGTCTGGAGGAATTGTTGCACCGGCGAGGGTTGCTCAACGGGTTGCTGGCCAGCCAGAAAGGCGGCGGCTGCCTGCTGGAACTGCGATTGCTGAGCCTGGGCCAGCTGTTGCTCCCTCAAAATATTCGGGAGATATGGCTCTGGCTGCTCATCTTCCTCCGCCTCTGTCACTGGACGTGGCTCCTCAAGAGCGATGCGTTGCGTCACCGCTGGCAGGATAGCATTTTGCTGGCGCAGCGAAGGTCCTGGACGACGGACCCGTAGTACGGGCTGGCGGTGCGGTTGTGATCCAGGTGATGCCACCGCTCCGGGGATGCTCAAGCGCTGGGGATAGTTTTGGGCCTCGACCAAGGCGAGGGCGCTACAAACAAGCTGCAAAATGGGAGTCATTAGTGGGTGCCATATAAGGTTCGACTGTGCCAATTGCCGGAACAAGGCGTTGCAGTCACTTTGGCAACAGCATGCCACACGTGGCCAATTTGCCACTACCTGGTAACTCACTTATGGCCTGTGCCCCTCTTAATTATTTTTATATGGTCACTTTTGGCCAGCTGTTCGCCCAACGACTTCATAGAATTTTCATCACTCTTCGACTGATTTGGGGGTGGAAATCCCAGTCGAATTTGGTATAATTGGGTGGAACTTAATTGGTCAATGAGTTCGCAAGAACAGAAACACCAAGCGGATTTTTTACCCGTTATGCCATTGATTGATCTATTTTTAAACATATGCAAAAGTTGCTTTCAGATTTGTTAAACTTGGTTTAGACGAATTATTGCTATTTGAAATTCTTAATGGTAATTTGCTCCTGACTTTGTTGAAAGCCTTGTACAAGTTTGGGACCAACTCCTCAAGTTTTGTATGGCATCACACTTTAACAAAAATGGGGCATTATTAATTAAACCAAATTCGGTATCCGTTAAAAACTCTCCACTTGAAGTCACACTTTTGTGGCACTTCTTGGTTAGCTGCTCACCTCACACTTCGGCAAACTGGTTTAAAATTTATCAACCGCTTATGTACTGCCCCAACAATTTGTAATTGTAACGGTGTGGTGGCGGCAGCAACAACAACTGTGGCAATACTGTAATGGTTGTAAATGTGGAACATAAAACAAATCGCGATTTCTGCCCCGCCTCGCTGCCGATCGATCATAAAAGCCATATCCAAAACCAAAGCCAGGCCAAAACAAGCCGCGCCAAAGCCAAAAGCGAGACCAAAAACAGAAGAAAAACGAAAACATTTCAGTCTTGCCGTCTGGGTTGCGTAATTTGCATGGCCGGAGTTATGCGACTCTCGTGGCAGCATGTAGCATGTGGCAAGCACATTGGCCAAAAGTTTCCGGTTCGCGAAAGAAGTCAAAGTCTAGGACAAGTGACCGACCGCGTAGTCGACTACGTTATATTGTGTCAACTTTTAATTAGTACCCGCTGCAATTGCACAATTCTAAAGGGGGACGAGGGGGCATATAGCCGGCTTATGGCTTTTCGCCCTCGGTTTCGGTTTCCATCTGGCCACAGATCAGATAACATTTTACCCCACTTTGCGAGGTAGCTTATATAAAAGAACTAATGGCTGGGGAAGTAAATAAACGTCAATGCGGAATTATGTTTTCCATTAGAGTTCTTGACACGATTGGAAACCCAAGCTGGGTGTTAGGTATTCATTTATAGTCTATAAAGAATTTTTTTTAATTTTTGAAGATAAGATATTTATGGTTTTAATATGGCTAAGATGGGATTAAGTTTGCAAGAGTGCTTCATTATAGATTTACTTTTTTATACTTTTATTTAACAATTTTGGGCTTCTTGAGTTAAAAAAGATTTTTATTAATCTTTATCATCAGTTTATATGACAACATTAGGAAATGTATCCCTTATATTAAGTAACTATTTCCTAGTACCAATAAAAGCGGTCATAATTTAATTGTTCAAACATAAATAACTATTACAGCTTATAATAATCAATTGAATCAATGGAGCCTTTGGCTCATGCAGATTTTGTTATGCATAGAGTCAACACATTTTTCTGCTGTTGTTGCTGTGCTATTATTATCCATTACTTTCCTGACTCTGAGCCATTGGCTTTGTTTTTTGTTTGTTTGTGTGCGGAGACCATTCAAGCCGAACATTCCAGTGGCCAGCGGCTTGGCTGGCTGCCCAACTACCTGGTCAAGTGAACTACTTGGCTTTAAAATTAATGAAAAGCCAAGCCAGATAGAGACAGAAACTGAGCAACAAGGCCTGGCAGACACTTGCAGCTATTTATTTGGGTGCATTGCTCGGCAGGGGAACTTGATTTGATTTAATTGCTTTTATGACTCCGCCTTGCGTCTGCGTCTCAGTTCAAGGAAACCGAAAATTTCGTAGGCATGTGTAAGTGGAATGGAAGGTGTTCCCAACTCGAAACCGAAACCGAACCAGGTGAAGCCAAGTTAAGCCAAGCCCAGCTGGATGCAGGCGTGGGTGTTCCTCTTTCAGATCATCACCATCAATATCATCATCAGTGAAAGACAACAAAAGATGTTTATGCGTTGAATGACGCTCCTGGTCATTAGTAACAATAACTTGGCTAAGGACTTCTGGTCCGGCCTTGACTGACCGATGGCCATTGACCGAACAAACGAATGAAATCGAAAATATGTGTCCTATGCAAACCAGGCATTCGCGGCTTTTTTTGCGAGTTGGCCGGACTCGTTGAGCTGGAATAGTTGTCAGTGCACTTTCGAGCCGGCTTCGGTCTCAAATATGTAACACTTTATGCATGTATAAAGGCTTATTTATGCAGGCATATATACCCGTTCATTACGTAATCCCAGCACACTACGCCCAAATGCGTCGCGCTGTGGCCAAGTATCTGTAAATGTATCTGCAGCTAAATCTGCTGCAGACACTTTGAGTGTGCGTGCCGAGAATTTGCATCGCCTTGGGTGCGTTGTATGGAAGTGGATCCCAGTCGCCCATAACTAGTTATTAGCTGCGGCCACCAACGACCTTGATACACATAATCGGGGCTAGCACAACAACGTGTCGTGACGAGCTGCGCCCGAACAATACTCTCCGAAAATTGCCGGTAAATTAAGTGTTTCAATTCATTTTCTGGTCCGAGTTTTGGCAAACTCATTAGGCCGTATCCATAATTTGCCAAGTCAATCAATCAATCAAGCAAAGGCATGAAAATCTGATTAGAGACGCTGATTTATGGTGTTTCCAGACTTATGTATTTTGGTTAGGAAACTTAAGAAGTAGAGCATTTTTTATATTTAATTTTAAAAAATATAATAAATTGAAAAAAAACATTAATACGTTATTATTTAAGATTAAAGTTTTAGTTATTTGATTTGATATATATTGAATTAAAGTCTCATTAAATAAATAAAGGTTTATTTAAACCGTTTGTTATGATTGATCTTGGCGATTTGTTCGCAAATAATTCATTTTATTTATCCTATAACTGACAATCAGCTTTGAGCAGTAGCGAGGGCCTTTGATAATCTTTAGGTGTACAGCAAATTGAACTTAAGTTAATTGTAAGTCAATTTCGAGAGCCCAATATTCAGGTTAATAATGGAGGTGGAAGGAATTTTGCAAAGTTAAGGCGGAGCTGGGCTTAAAGCCAACAAATGCTCGTTAAAATTTCTGACCCGAGGGCTTGGTTTGGTAATTCCTCAAACGGAATTCTTTGGCCACACAGTGCAATACAATTGCTGGGTGATTGTATCGCATATTTATGATGCGAGTTCCTTTGTACTTTGGCTCGATCTTAAGTTTTATGATGCCAAATGGAATGAAATGTCAATTGGCCAACATTAATTGCTAATTGCGTTGCATTGAGACACAGGCACACACAGCTCGCGCACTTTCTATAAAATGCAAATACTCGTAAATAGCAATGTCTCAATCGGAGATCGACTATGAGTCTTAAGCTGGCAACCGAACGACCTTGATAGTCGCATATTTATGATTCACTTGCATGCTTAAAAGGTGACATGACCGAGAACACTAACGCGATTGATCCTTGGCCTGGGCTTCGCTTCCCACTTACCGCAATTAGGTGGAGTTTCATGATGGATCTGGTCTTGGTAACTCCGCTTCTTTATTCTGGGCTTTTTTACACTTCCGCAAGCCGAAAAGAAATCACTGTTAATGTCGGGGAGAACAGACTTATCCGCAGGGCACCTTGTACTTCTTGGCCAACCGTTGATCGCTCAAATGCTGGGCCCGCCAGGTGCGCAGGCGGCTTTATAGCTCCAGCTCCATCGCCAATCGGAGCTTTGGCAAGCAGCGGAAAATTTATGTGAGGCATGTGTTTGGCATGGCGATGCAATAAATGACCAAGCCGAAAGTGGAGCGCATCTCTCGATGAAGTAACGAAAGTGACAGGGCAGCCTACTTTTTTTGCACTCTTTTGTGGACATGAGAATGGTTGGTCTCGATCACCTCCGGAAACGTGATTTAGTTTTAAATTACTTTTACCGCCCTCAACGGTCTGCTCAAATAATTTGTTAGCCTGGCAACGCTTAAACTCAAGCTTTAAGACTCGTTTCAAAATTCAAAAGTCTATCCAACGGAGCGTATGCGCAATGGTAGGTGCATTGACTAAGTTGGCTTATAGGAACGCTAGCATGGTTCGTCACCATTCTTTTTATAGCAACTTTTTACACAAGCGTTGTTTTATGGAAACCTTTTAAAATTTTTATTTTATTATAAATGGATTACATATTAAAAATATGTGTTTTAGTAAAATCAATATTTTGAAAATCTTTTTCCATTAAGAACCTAATCCAAATTAAAAAGCAATCCATTTTGCAAATCATAAAAATACTGCGTTTTTAATGCAATGAAAGTATAAATAAAATAAAATCATAGTTTATGCTAGAATGAGAAAAACGATTTAGTGTGGGTGCGCAAAGTCCCCAAAAAGGTCCAATATATATCACAGTTAGGCATGTCAAAACGGAAAGTCAGCTCCAGTCCCTCTTAAAATTCCAATTCAGGCTCTAGGTTATACCACATCCTTCATAAGACTGATGGCGATGGCGCCAATCAGGCCACTCACTCCCATAACATTCAAGGGCAGCAGGGGATCAATGTGCTCCTGTTCATAGCAGATTGGTAAAATAAAGGTAATGAGGGTAAACAATATGAGGACCCACCAGTTGCCAAAGGAAGGGCACAAGGATTAGAGCAATGCCCGATGCCAGGTTGCCCATGCCAACACCAAAGTTGCGGACGATTGTGGGATATTGCATCGCAGTGTAGGTGGGAATGATGGCGTTGTTCGCTCCAATAAGGCACTTGGCTGGAAGAGATTACTATCGTTAAAAGATGACCATTACAGATGCAGTCACGGGAATAACTCACCTATGGTGGCCAATGCAATCACACCCGTCTGACTCGGCACCAGGTTCGTGGCCAGACAGCAGAGGCCCGGCAGCAGCATGTAACCAATGAGACTCCGCCGGATTCCGACTTTCAGAACCACCAGGATGCTGATGCAGATGGACACGGCCTCCACGGCTCCAGCCACGGCACTGTTAATGTAGATATTTCCTCCCAAATTGCTCAGATGCAGGGTAAGGCCAAAGTAAATGATGATCAGGGTGAGCCAGATGACCAGGGTGAGACATGTGGTGCGCCAATACTTCGCACTGAACACCACCAGCAGTGGATTCACAGGACCACTCGTGCTCGGATCCGGTGCATCCGTTCCGACTGTCCTAACATCATCGCCGGCTGGCTCTGGTGTCGATTCGACCGCCCGTGGAACCGCCGCCTCGAGCGTCTTGCGATAGTTGCTGGGCAGGATGCCGCTGGTGCCGTTCATTCGGGCCGCTCGCTCAATTAGCTCACACAACTCATCCAACCGTCCCTGGGCCAAAAGCCAGCGGGGCGACTCCGGCAGCCAGAACCTAAATGCGATGGAAAGGGGGGTGAGAATCAATGTCATGCCCCGGTATTTATTGGCTGTTAGGAATTTTTTCATTTGATTTCAAAAGCGGTCAGCTAATGTGGCTTCCTTTGGCCTGCTTGGCACCCATGGATAAACACTGAGGAATTTCCTGGACAGTGGTTGCTTTGTCCCTGCCGAAATCTAATTGATCCCGAGCATTGTGTTGTGCTCGGTTTTCTGTTGTCAATTCATTTAGTTGACTGCCTGCTAAAAATGTTTACGCTTTGAAGTTCAAATTCGTTTCGCTAAAGCTAACCCATTGAAGTAACTTATGGAATTTAGTTTCCAGCTAAGGCTGATCTTAGAAAATAATCATTTTATAATTATTTAATATTAATCGTTTTTTCACTTGCAATTTTACCACCAATTTCCAAATTTAAAATGAATAAATTACCTAAAAAAAAATTATATTTGTTTTCCTTTTCAAAAGCAACAAGTTAAGGTCAAACCAAGAATTAATAAATACATCATTAAAGAATGGCAAAATTAAACGAATTGTATAGGAAAATAAATTGAATTAAATGCAAAATGTTTATCCATGCATAATAATTTACTTAATTAAGTAAAATATCATTAGGGCATTTATGAAATCAGAGCTTAAAGCAAAATGCATAAAGAGACCTCGATTTCCCTCTAGGTAAATTGTTGATTACCAAATAAACGCCACATAAATGCAGAGATAAATGCATTCCCCAGGATACCCCGCCCCACTTACCAAATGCTGAGCATGATTAGCCAGGGAAAGGAGATGGCCAGCTGCAGGTGACGCCAGTCGCGGATGAGGTAGGCCAGTCCGGCGGAGAGGACGTAGGATATGGCCACGGGCAGAATGTTGAGAATGCCGATTACGGTGCGCCACTTGCCGGAGACCAGCTCCACCACCAGCACGAAGCTCACAACAGTCACGGTCATTGATGCGAATCCAATTATAACACGTAGCGACATGAACATGGCCACCGATGTTGAGAAGGCCAAAATTCCACCTGCAACGGAGAGCAGAGAACGCAGGCGGTGGCCAAAAGGGTGCCGGGGTTGCGGAATGTCAGTGGCAAGGTCGGGCACGTAAATAAGAGTGTAAAGTCAATTAAAATCCCAGCCGGGCCAGAGAGCAGGACAAATGCAAATGCAGCTGTTAGCCCAACGATTCACGGACAAAGCTGCATATAAATGACAATTAGAAAATGAATTCCACTCAAATTGCCATGGTCAGAGGAACCCTTTTTGGGACAGTCGCAATTTTCCCACTATAATCTACACAGGCAAAAATGAGCTTTAACTTTACATCTTTAGGAAAAACATTGATTTCATAATTAAGCATTGCAAGTTGGGATTCTCAAAAATATTAATCTACATTTAGATATTTTTAGAACTTCAAGTAACCTAATTAAATAATAAACGGGCTTTACTCACCGAACACGCTCTGGATAGTGACAAATGCCATCAGCGTATGCCTTCTGCCGAAGCGGTCCGATATCCAGCCGCTAAGTACCGCTCCCGCAGCAGCGCCGACCAGGAAGCAGGTTTCCACCAGACTAAGGATGTCCCTGCCGCAGACCAGTTCGAACTCCTGCACCAGAGTCTTGGCCGTTCCTTCCTCGTCGGAGAACTCGAAGTGCCGGCACTGTCGGTAGCCCAACTGAGTGGCATTTGTCGGCCAATTGATCAGTTGGTTATCCTCGTACATCACTTGGGAATAGTCCAGGTCGAGAAGCAGGCAACCATTGGAGGACTGACTCAAGTTTCGCCATTCCGAAATGCTCATCTGCAGGAGGTTGTCTGGCCGGGCACACCAGAAGTCTTTGGGGGCGGTCTTTAATGAAAAAGAGTAAGCAAAATTATAGAAGAAAGTAATTTATGCAAGCTTGTATATATACATACATAATCCTTTTTAAATTTTATGACACCAAGATATACCATTTCTAATATACTAATCCCAATTAATGATACGTTTTAGAGAACTCTTAAATTATGACATTAATTGGAAGCAGACCTATTCATAACATATCTATCTTTATTTTGACCAATAAACTGGTTCTCATGATTGTGCTTTTAATTGCTGATAAGAGCTAGAATTTATCTCACCGACTTGTTTTAAAAAACATGCTGATTGCTAATTTAAAGAAACAAATTTCAAACTTGTTGCGCAAAACTGAAATAATTTAATGAATTTTAATTGTCTTGTGAATGGAGCATTCAAAACTTATAAATTTATTATTCCAACTCTATAAAAGTTAACTTTCAAAGGCACAAAAGTTATTGTGCATATAAATTTCTTATTGAGTTTTGAAGAAAAACTTTTGCCGTAGAATTTTGGTAACTTTTTTCCATAGGAATATTACAATTTTGAATTCGGTTCACGTTTGTAATTACGTGCACTACATAAGGCATTAACTTCTTCCTTACTTCCAACTCAGCCAATCAAAGTTCGAGTGCGGAGCTATAAATCGAACGGAGATCGGGCAGTTCGGGTATTTTGCCAGACACATTTTAAATCGGTAGTAAACCGTTTAAATTTCTTCCGCATGTTGATTGCGGTTTGCTCGTAGTTAGTTTGTTTACAGCAGTCCCATTTGTCATTTGGGTTTCGATTGCGAATGTTTCGTGACAGGTTAACACGGCTGAAATTACTGAGTGTTGTTACAACACGAACAGAAATGTGCGGCCATCTGATTGATGATCGAATCAATGAAAGCGGCTTATCAATCGCGGGGGGGCGAAACCCGCCCCGTAAACAACTACAACCCACAGCAGGTTGATAGCCTCGGCCGACATTGAACGTGCCGCAATTAAACATTTAGTATGCGTTCCGAGGAAATGGTTTCAAGTTCAAGTTGAAGTGTAACAAGAAAGCGAAACATTTTCAATAATTAATGGTCAGTGAAAGCGGCTGTAAAAGCCGAGCATTTCTGGTTATGTTTTCGGTGAGGTTTTTTCCCAAGTTTTTCCCTGGTCTTTGGCCAAAAGTCTGGCGACCGCTGATCGCGTGGCAGGCTCTGATGTCATTTGTGGCCGCCGTGGCAGTTGTTCTGTCGCCAGTCGGTTACATGTCACGTTTCAGGCATTTGCATAGCAAAACAGACTCTCGGCCAACAATGGAATTCTGTGGCACAACGTGGGCAGGTCTCGACTACATGAGCCACATAAATTTCGCTTGATAAATTGGTTTGCTGCACCTGAGAGTGCGCTTTTTCTAATGACAGGTTCGCACACTGGTTAGGGATCAAATTACCCCCAATCCTTTCATTACAATCAGATTTAGAAATGTTTTTTTTATAATTGTATTGCCCTGGAATGACAACCTTTTTATAGTCAAAGATGTAGGGGATTTACCAGGTCAAGCACCTTAGCTAAATGTTTGCATAATGGAAATCTCAATTTAGATATTCAACTAATAGCACGATTAGTGACAATACATGAACTATTGTTTCTGACTAAAATAGTGGCATATAAGTAATTGATTGGTTCGGTGAAGTTCAATAAAATTTGCATTCAATGGGCTTAGAAAAACGTTAGTTGAGTTTGTTAATTTCCTGAATCCTTAAGAAGAATATTAGTAATGGGTTTTTGAATACATTTTTTTATCCGTTTAATTCATTTGCTCATAGCCTTTTAATTTTAATTTAATTTAACAATAAAAGGGTTAGGGGATTTACCAGGTCAATCAACTTAGCAAACTATTGCTCCTAACAAAAGACAATACATATCCGGGGAAAGTTTTGGATTTATTTGCATTAAATTATTTTTCGTATCTCGAAATTCTTGAGAAGCATAATGAAATTATAACATTGTGTTTCTTAATGTTACTCATTTTTTAAATAAATTAAATGTGGATAACGCATTTAAGTTATTGTAGTGCCAATAACCTATGCCTTTTAGTATTTCTCCGTCATTGCTTATCAACATCTCCTACACCTTGAAGTTGTCATAAATTTTTGAATACAATTTAAAATAAAACAAGGTGATGATTCCCTTGTAGTTTAATTAGATTTATTAAGGTAAATACCTGAAAAAAGGCTTGTCTTAAAATATCACTCTTCATCTAGCCTTCTAGGAGATTTTCCGATTAGGCGTAACCGGACTATTAAATATAGTACAATGTCTATGTGGTTCAGGTGTTCATGGGTGATCGTTAAGTTAATTGTTACAGGGTCATCTACTGACCCTAGGTAAGAAAGTATTTAAATTGCCGTTTCAAATCTGAATTCCAATTCGAATTAGTTTATCCAGCGGATCGGAGACCAATGTGCCAGGCTGAGTGTGGCTCACAGAGGTATTTCTGTGCATTTTATTATTATTGTTTAATTAATATATTTAGACAGTTAGCGGTCAATATTGGCCTGTGGCAGAGACTAACCTTTCCAAGACAACCTTGGGAGCTGACGTGAAGTCAGAGCAAACCACTGACACCACCGGCACCACCTGATATGGATCAGTTGGGAGTGGAAACTAATTGAAAAGTCTTGCCAGCTCGCTGGGAAATCGTGTTGTCATGGTGTCCAACCACAGAGCATAATCCACAAAGCTGTCGTCTTCTAATAAATAACACAAAGCGTGCAATTTGCGGATTTAGCCAATTAAGATAAGGTAATCCAACACGAAGACTGTGTCAAATATATGCCATTAAATCTGTGTAAACAAATCAACGACTTTTGGGTTGCAGGGTGAGCAGATAGCAAACTCGTTTCGGCCTAAGCCAGTTCAAATTTGTTATTACTCCGCTGGCAATTATTGTGTGTCAATAATTAATGCCAAAAGTGGAACAATTAAAGTGGACGAATCCAAAGCGTATTTTAGTCTAATGAGTATAAGTAGCTAATTAGTAAAATAATATAAAGTATATCATTTTTTCTGGTTTGAAAGTGTTTATAAAATTAAAAGCAAAATATCCACTTTAAGATTTGAATTGAAATATATAAAAGGTCGCATAAATGTGTAATATATCAACAATGACTTTGTATTTTATAAAACACAACTTTAGGCCTTCATTGTTTCTTCTACACATCAATCTTTGTTATACATCCAGTTCAATAAACACATTAATCGGGAGGTAATTAAATGTATCTGATATTCCACTCCTAAATTCGCTCAATGAAATTGTATCTTTTGCGGATTAGTACGTAGCTGCACACCTCGCAATCAAGCGAGAGCGCGAGCATAGGCAACAGGTTTGAATCGCACACACCTGCAATCGGACTCCTCGAATTCACGTTATCACGAGTACTTGCTGATAACTGACATTGGGGGAGGTAATATTCAGGTGGGCAAACAGAACCTTGTCAATTGCGATGTAGTTGTCGCTGTCGATGCCTGAGCATTGGCCAGCATGAGTTGGCGTTGGCAGTGGAGGTGGAGGTGGAGGTGCCATGGTGCACATGTGGCAGGCGATGGAGCGCAACGATGGCTAATGTGGTGGTGGCGTGGCTTGAGGCCGAGGCAATCAACCCCACTCACCTGGAACACGTAGACGAATATGTGGAAGGTGCAGATGGCCTGGAAGATCGAGAGCAGACCGCACCAGAGACCCTGCCAGGGTGTTAAGCGGCCCAAGAGTCGCTCCAGCAACTTGGTGTGCAACTGGTCCAGCTCCTCGATATTATTGGACTCCAGCATGGGCGAGGCCTCGCCGGTTCCCGCATCCGTTAGCTCCATTTTGCAACCGCCTCAAATTGCAACCGTTTGCGACTTGCGATGCAAGTGAACTGATTTAGAATGTTTGCTTTCAAAAATGTATCTTATGAATTTCAAATCGGTCTCAGATGCAAGTTTTTGGCAGGCCGGTGTATTGCTCTGAGGTGTCGAGAGCCGAGAGTGCGTATGCCTGAGAGATTCGACCGGGTCTCAGGTTTTATGCAGGCGCGGCGTTATTTCAGATTTCCGTGGGGGCCCTGAGATAGTGACCAACACACCGCGATGTTACGATAGCCAAAATGACTTGTTAACTTTGTCTTTACACCCGATTAAGTGAGTCATTAAAGAACCACTTGATGACTTTATTACTTTGGACCGGCGACCTTGTTAGGGAGTGCCTTGACCACCAGCTCCTCCCACAAGGTTGATGCACACTCTTCGACAAGTCAATTTCATTTGGTGTACTGTGCCAACATAAAGATATCTTTATAGAACCGAACTTTCTTTAGTTCGACTGGCGTAATCTTATCTACGACTGTCTATATTTGATTGGTTCATGTAAATATAACGATGGTTTGCCAAGATTACATTTTTAACTATTGGTTATTGTTTGTCTTCCCAAGATAACATTATGCTTATCAAGGAAAAAATAGCACAGAAGCAATCAAATCAGGACCGCTGAAGTTGGCCAAGTATTATGCATTTAATGTTATCATAAGTGCTTAGTTATTAGTATATTTCGCTACTATTCAATTGAGTCCCAAAAGATGATTAAAAAACATTTTTGTCGTTGGAGCTGATAAAAGTTTTTAAAAATGTTGATAAGCTTGATTGAGCTCAGATATTTAAATCAAACGACATTTAAAAATAATATTGTTAATTTCTATTAAAAAGCGACTTCGTCTCAAACTTTTTCAAGTTGTTATTACAGAAAAAAAAAAAAAAATTTTTTATTTATTATTTTAAAAATAATATTTTAATAATAATATTTTTTTTTTTTTTTTTATTTTTTTGTAATTTTAATTTTTTTACTACTTGTATCCGACATTGGCTACCATTCAAGGTCTGTGTTTTACATGGGTTACTTTTTATCAATTGGCACCGATTACCCATGTCATCATCGGGGCATCAAACCGTAGGCAAATGATGCACCCGCAACCCACTCGCCGATAAATGGCTCCTAAGTGCCTGTGACAGCCTCCCCGAAAGTTGGTCAAAGGTGCTCGAAGGTCGCTAGTCGATTTCGAGGGGCAGTTCAAACAATTCACTGGCGAAAAGGTTGCGCCAAGTGGGCCTGAAAATGTGTGGCCAAAATAGGCATGCGTGTTATTGCTGTGATTGTCGGCCAGCCAACTCAAGTGGCGTCTCTGTCGAGCGTTATCAATTGTTTTGCTTATATGTTGTTTGGCTATAATTTAACGTCACTCAGTTCTTGCTAACGCTGATAACGATTTTTAATTTCAGACTCTCTTTTACTTTTCACTCGTTAATTACTACATTGTCAACACTTTGCATTAAAGTGATACACAACCAATTAGGTGCCTATTATTAGTGCAAATCACTCACAGACTTTACAGCTATCCATCAATCAATCAATTGCACAATGTTTTTTTCCGGTCTAAACCCCAACTGCCCCACATCCGGGGCAGTTTTGGATGGGGTTGGGAGACTTACCTACCAAAATATTTGATATTGATGTTTTCGGCGACGCAATCAACTGGGCAAATATTTACCAGGCCATAAAACTGAAACTCACCTGGAAGACAAACATGAACAGGTGGAAGGTGGTGGGCAGTTGAAACAGGCAGAGGAGCAGGGTCCACAGGAAGCTCCAGCGGGTGTAGTGGCCCAGGAAATTGGATATCACGTCGCCGTCCGGATCCTGGCTGAGGTCCCTGCTCGGCGGCTGGTCCCTATCGGTGGAACTCTGCTCCGCGGGGGGCTTCTTCAGGTCCTCGGAGTAGCGACGAAAGTCCAATGCTATGACACTGATTTCCGGAGTCTTTGGGCCGGGCCTTGTCTCGCGATATCCGCCATACAGGTTTGCCTCCAGGCTGCCCCTGCCCTTGTCCCGCGGTCCGCCCACACAGTCGAAATTCAAGGAACCGCGACGCAGCACGCCACTCATTTCGAGGAGGTCTATAGACGATATCTAACGATTTCCCAAGACTTCCGATTGTATTACTCCACTTAACTTAGCAGCGATCGATTCGATAGATTGGAAATAAATATAAAACCGCCTCGATCGTTACTATCTCAACCGTCGGCGACGATCTGGAACCGTTAAATGTGCGGCGGCGCTGTTATAAGCAGTCTCTAAATCTGCAAAAGAGCGAAAGCTATGGCTCAGGGCATTGCCAGTATCGAAAAAGCTCAACTGAAAGCTTCGACTACCCCACGATCGATCGAGTTGAGTGAGTTTTAATACTTCCTTGGAAGCCTTTCATGCCCACACATTAATTCAAATCTTTTTTATTTATTTATTTATATTTTATTTTGACACTATAATTGCGATGGCTTTGGTAATTTTGATTTACAACAAGTTATTTCAAGTGTTTCTCTTAACACTGTTAAGCAGGTGATCTTACTCCAACTTAACAATTAATTTAATTTGGTTTTAGATTCGGGTATTCCGTTTATTTGAAGCTTAAATAAATCTCTTACTTATGACAAATACATAACGAAGCTGATTTGATCTTAGCGGGTAAGTACAATAGGCAACAAAAATAAACTTAAAATAGAGCAAAATAAAAGAACGGAAAATAATACGAAATACAAATGAGCATATAACAACTTGGTAGGTAAGTACAACAAGTAATTCAACAGGTTTGTTTTTTAATTTGATTGTTTTTTTCACTACATACACAAACGCACACATATCCATATACACATATTTGTATACATTGTTAAATGCATTATATTGGAAATTTATTTTGTTCATTTCATATACATATATTTCTTGATGACTCCAAACAATAAAACTCCTTGTATGTTCTGTGTCCCTATAAACAAACACACATATATACAAATCCATAATTGACCGATACTTAGAAACTGATCTTTTGTATATAAGTTTAGGGGTACGGATAGACTAAGGATTAATTGACTACAATTACTAGAGATTACAATTTGTCGCTTGAATGTGACACTCTCTTTTCTCTGGAAGATTTAGCTCCTTTTCTTATTTATCTCGTATTTGGAAAACATTTATTAATAGACAACAAGAAGACGACGACGAGATTATGCATACGTTGAGATATTGACAAGACACATTGACAACATTATAATTTGTGTTTTTCATTGACTTGTGTTTATCTGAGCGAATTCGTTTGATTCGTTTTTAACTATAGTAGCAGTACAGAAATTGTTATGCTCTATATTCAGGGTATTTTACTGGGAAATTTCAAAAACTTGTATAAGATAAAACTCTCTTAGGCAGGTAAGCATTATTGCTGGAGTATTTTGATAACAAAAATAAATTAATATGAAATTGAGAAACAGGGTAAAACTAAATTGTTTTTAATACAAGTAATTGATTTTAAAAGAAGCAAAGACAAAATATAAAAAGGAGACTGAGCTTGCCATACATAAAATAACTAATATTTAAAAATTGGAAAACCTCCCTAAGATTGGGTCGAGTTTATTACCTTCGATGGGAACCGAAGAACTTAAGCTACTTCGAGTGTTTCTGGTGACTTTCGGGTGTTGTGTGTGTTTTCAGTACTTAGACTATGACATAAGCTACAAGCCATTGTTGTTAGTTAATTGTTAAGATACATACTCACTACGTGCTACGCAAACAAGGTCCTGCCTGACATGTGACATTCTCTAGCGAATTGGCATTACTCTTGGACAATCATCGGATCGATACCATAAATTTAAGGTGGCTTCAGGCGGTGGATATGTCGGGGGGCGTGGCAGGTTGGGGGTTAAGTGGGGGGCAGAGAGACAGCAGCGGCGATGGCTAATCTGACTTCAAATCGGCATACTTTGGACCAGCCAAAATACTTTGTTCCTGGGGGCTGAACAGGTTGGGATTGGCAATAGCGGTCATTACACCTGCTTGGCAGCACTGGCATTGGCATTGGCATTGTTTCCTCCCTGATTGGCTGCCTTTGCACGCACAGCGGTCTCGGGCAGGAAGAGCACCACAAAGCCGCCGAAGATGCTCCAGGCGGTCAGTAGGGTCATCAACAGGTGCCCCTCGATCTTGTTCTGTAGGAGATCAATTCGGGGTTAATAAAAATCCTTAAGGAGTTTTCTGTTATCTTACCAGCAGTGACAGATAGGGAGTGAGGATCAGGGCCAAACCGGCGGCCACATTGCAGGCGCCCACGCCCACATTGCGTATGGGCGTGGGATAAAGCTCCGCCGTGTACACCGGCATTATGGTGTTGCCCGCACTAATGGTGAACTTGCCCATCATCAGGAATGTGATCTTCAGCCAGAGCAGGTCCGCGTGCCCCTCGGTGATCGCCGCACAGCAGCAGGCGACGCCGGCACAGATCAAAGTGGCGCAGAAGAGCCACTTCTTGCCCACCTTGGTGATGATGTACATGGCCACGGCGATGGCGGGTATTTCGACTAGGCCAGCTAGCGCCTGTGGAGGAGAAGATGGAACAAATACGGGGATGAGGCGGAGCAGGGCAAGTGAACAAGATGTCAACTGTCGGCGGGGCGCATTAAATCAGAACGGCATCAAAGGTGCGCCCGGCGTTGTCAAAATAAATTATGCAATAAATTAGCTGAAAAGCTCGCTGGCATGCCCATTGTCGCTCGCTGGACAGTGGTGAGCAATTGGCTGGGAAAACTCAAGAAAATCGAAGATGCTAATTGTATAAATATAGCTCAGAGTTATTTATTTAGATTTGTATTATATATGGCTTACGACTTATTTCAGCATATATAATTGTGCGAACTGATTATCAAAAAAAATTTTAAAAATTGTAAGGAAACATTGTTTTAGAAAACAAAATATATATTAAAAATGTAATGTATTTAAAAACTGTTTACCTATGCATACGAAAATCTTTCGACGTGTAATTTTCTAGTATAAAATCTTCACCCCACTTATTTCATCAAAATTCTCGAATCAAAAGAAAACAAACATGGAGATCAGACAACATTAAGCTTCTTAGCATTTTAAAACAATCAAATCCCGAACAAATGCCAAACATGTTTGGCATGTTGTGTGTTCCAAGGCCCGTCAGCACTGTGCTCAACATTCTGCTGGCCAACTGCCAGATGGAGGGGCTAAGATAGCTGCGGCTGGCGCTGCGGGCGCGACAGGATTTATCTACTATACAGTATATGAAGAGGGTGGGGAGGGGGTGGACGTGGGCCAGTAACATCTTAATTCGATTGCAAACACATTTTCGAACCGTCCAACAGTCCGACGGCCGAAGAACACTTGACATCGAACAGACAATCTTCAGTCATCGGCTGATGGAATTGCTGACAAATCCAATTAGGCGGCCATCAGCACCACCGAATATTGTGGACCACTTGCCACTTGCTTGCTAAATGCTTGATTGATCCTATATGTTGACAAGATTTCGGATGAAGTTCTCCATGCCGTCGCTGATGATTTGTCTAAGTGGCATTTGCGTCCACGTTGCGTATACTTAATTCTGAGAAGCAAAACTCACCGAATTCAAGTAGACATTGCCGCCAAAGGAGCTCATGTTGAGTATAATGCCGTAGTAGACCAGATTCATGGTGAACCAGATGCAAAAGAAGCAGATGGAGATGCGCCGCAGGTAGCTGGAGCGGAACAGGTAGGTGACGTCCTGGGAGCTGCTCTCCTGCGTCGGCGGCGTCAGCTGATAATCGGCGGGTAGCTGGCGACCGTTAAACTTGGCGGCCGCCTCGATGATGCGACGCACCTCGTCAATTCGACCCTTGACCAGCAGCCAGCGCGGCGATTCCGGGACCACAAACCTGCCAGACAAGAAAACGCGAAAAATTCAAGAGAAATCAAACAAAATATAGGATAGGAAACATGTGCCGCGCTAAATACGCCACTCTGTTTATAGTGGGGGGAACACCCACGCTCTGTTTACCCATCTTTTCACAAGTCTGTGATCTATACACACATGGCGTTTCTATTGCTCTAAATTTATGATGATTGTTTACCTCAGCAATCGATCAAAGTCTTACCAGAGGAAGCACAGAAAGATTCCGGGAATTCCAATGCACAACTGCAGGCGTTGGTAATCCTGAGTGAGGTAGGCCAGGCCCGAGATGATCATGTAGGAGATTGGCAGTGGAAACAGGTTGTACATCCCGGCAATGGTTCGCCACTTGCCATCCACATACTCGATGGCCAGGATCAGGCCCGAGTAAGTGACCGATACCGATACCAGACCCAGCAGAGCGCGAAGTGTCAGATAAAGCTCAAAGGAGTTGCAGATATAGAGCCAGAGACCTGTTCAGGATATAAGAGATTAATTGGTTAATTTTACATTTTTTTATAATTTGTAGAATTCAATTAGGAAACGGAGTACAATAAATGGAGTTCAGAAGGGCACTTTAGATATTGCGCATACGCCTTGTTGGACTAATTTGAGACTGTTTTTGTAAAATTTAATGTTTCAGCTGTGGTTTAACAAGTGTTTAATTCTGTAACAACAATTACAGTTAAGGAAGTAAAGGAGATAATAAGCTTATAATTTAGTTCAACCATTCACACATTTTGGGGAATTTCATTAATTTTCCTCATGCGATCTATCCTCGCAATCAAAAGCCAGCTCGCACACGTGCCCGCCCTCAATTTCAGTCCCTCATTAGTAATGTCCTTTCGAATGCAAATTTCAATTATACATTGTGAGAGATTTAATCAACAAGGACAACAAGGCTGGCAAGAGCCTGGCAGCCACAACTGCAGCTCGAGTGACAGCCCGACCCCACAGAACCCACAGAGAGCCACTCGATGTGCTCGTGCTGACCCCCGACATGGCCAAGTTCACAGTCACCGGAGGAGGACATCGTCAGGGCCAATGTCGCAGTGACTTCCGTATGTCCAGGGGTATGTGTACAAGGGGTGGCATGTGCACGGAATGGGATGGAATGGCCTTTGTGCGCCGAGAGACTCTCACCGAATATGGTCTGCAGCACGGCCGATATGAAGAGCATTGTCTTGCGCCCGAACTTGTCCGATAAATAGCCGGAGATGATGCCACCTGTTGCCACGCCCAGCAGGAAGAACATCTCGGCCACGTTCTTCAGGTGCTCCTTCTCGCACACCAGATCCCACTGCGATGTCCAGGTGTTCCCGACGTTGTCGTTTGTCTCGTACTCCCACTTCTCGCAGGCCACCATCTTTCTATCCGCTTCCAGGGGTATCTGAAAGATTAGTTACTGTTCTTTAAAAAGTGTCTGATATCGGGTGTAGTACTAATTATATTTATTTAATATTGTTATAGAAATTATCTCTGTTAAATTAGGGTTACATTTTATTCTATCTGTCTATGGTTAACAATGCTGAGTTTCGAATAAGTAATGACTGTCAAAAGGCAAATGAACTATTACTTTATAACTTTAAGCTTACATTTTGTAATTAATATTTATTTATTTTATGGGCATGCCATAGCCAGATCTTACCTTCCACTCAGATGGCAACGTGGTGTCATTGCCCACCTGACTCCAGTCGATGCCCCCATATCGCTGGCAGTTGTCGACGGAGCCGCTAATGTTGCGCCAAATGGCCACCGGGATGTGCTGGAGTTGCGCTGGCCGCTGGCACCAAAAGTCCTTGTTGGCCGCCTGGTAGATGGACGAGGATATGTGGAAGGTGTTTGGCACCTGGAAGAGCGACAGCAGCACCGTCATCAGCAGCTGCCACTTGCCGTAGTGGCCCATCAGGTCACCGATCACGTCGGTCTCGTCCTCATCGTCCGCCGGATCCAGTCCGCTGACCGCCGCCGCCGCTGCCGGCGACTGGGGCGTCGCTGCCTGCTGTTTGGGCGGGATGGTGGGGCTGGTGGTGTTGGTAGCGGTGGTGGGGGACGGTTTGCCGGAGTCGTGCATGATGCACAAAGGAACTGAAACAAGTAAAGGAACTAAAATAAGTAAATCATAGCTAATTGAAAAATTAATTAATAGAATAATACTTTAGATGTTTTGAGGGACTTGTCTAGCCAAGTGCTTGCTGTAAACCATGCCTTTAGCGAAACCTATTCTTATTAAACAACTAAATTAAATAGGAAAAAATCAGCTAACGTATTAAACAGACGTGTTGACAATTATAAGTCTTTAAGGTTCACATTGCGATTAAAAAAAGAATGAAGAAGTGGATCAAGGAATTATATGTATCGATCAGCGTTGAATTGAATATTGAATTATTGAATAATGGCTTGAGCATTCAATAAACTAGTCAACTATGTAACCACAGAAGCAAGTGCCATAATAGAAAAATAGATAAAGGCCCAGGTTGCATATTTTTCAGAAGGGAGCATGCAAATAATTGACTTGATAGATGAAAGCAGAACGGATTCTGCGGGCAGGGGAATTAATTTTATTGCCCGTGTCAGGAGCACACAAAGGAGCAATTAGTTAAGTGGTCAGTGACTGGGCATAAACCAACTCGAAGTCGGATTCGGAGTCGGAGGAGGCGAAAGCCTCTCAGAAACAGTCCAAATGCAGTCAAGTCAAGCGGCTCTATTTCATTTATTAGGACAACCCCCCGCTCTCCCCCCTTTAGGGATGCCCGAGTCCGGTCATTGGTCAACCTGCGTTCGATGGAATTCAATCACGTTGGAGGCGATTAACTACAGCAGCCGGAGACCGGCAAAAGTTGCTGCTGAGCACCGAGAACCGAACTGAGCCAGCTCTACAAAGTAAAAGAATAATAGCCAAGATTTAATGTAATTGCGTCGGGGTGGGCGGACGGAGGGGGTTGCTCCTGCCACGTTCGTGTCCCTTGCTCAGTTTGCTTGCTCAGTGAACTTTCTTCCCATCCTCCCACGCCCTTTCTCCGTTCGCATCCTTTCTCCGCTTTGCTCTGTTTGCGTTTTCTTTTGTGGCCACTGGCCAGCGGGTCCTTTGTAGCGCATTGGCTTTGTCTGGGATTTGTCCGGAATGGGTCCACATACAGATGTAGTATAGTTAAGCCCGGGGGCAGAGTGGCCTAAGGTATCAATGCCCAAAAGTAGGCAACAGACTTACGAACTTTTCGACTTTAGTTGGCCCGACTTAAATGGTTAATTCTTTTCAGTTGATTTACCAGCGAGGTTTTATTAAGCCAAATTAAGCGATTTACCACACGGCAAAAAAGATGCGAAAGGAGCATTAGGTGAAGCGAAAAACAGTTGTGAACTGTTCACTAAGTTCTAAGGAGACCTAAGCTTCTGAAACTAGTTGTTTCAACTAGTTTGTAGTGAGTATTATATGAAAGAAAAAATTATCAACACTACCCAATGATATACTGGATATTATATATAAGCAGTTGCCATAAAGGAAGCTAATATAAAATACACATATAACTAAAAAAAAGTATTTGGCTTAAATCACTTGCTTATTGCTTATTTATGAGTCCACGCGTATAGCTATTCCACTAAACATAAAACTTCATATAAATAAAGTTCTTAAATGTGAAGTAGCCCTACAGTATTTATTTCAATACAAAACTTTATTGCTGATTTATTTCAAGCTCCTTTATTCACATGACTTGTCAACAGCATGGATGTCGCTATGCTTCCCATGAATCAAATACTCGCACATATCAATCTGCGAAGCCAACATTTATGGCAGAAGTCCTGTGGGCCGAGTGTTAAATTTGCATATGCCCAAGTGCCGGGGGGTGTGTCCAAGCCCCCGGAAGAGATATTCCATTTAGAAGGGGATTTGGCATATGTGGCCACTGGGCACCGCACCGCACCACTGTGGCAGCAGCAGCAGCAGCAGAATTTGCGGCTGTGGCAGTGGTAGTGGCAGTAAAATTCACGCCATACGCCGCACGTGATAAGCAGTTGAGCGCACATTTTCACGCACTTGTAAACAGGAATAAGCGAAGCGTGTCCGCGAAAAGCCGCTGGCTGGAGGGACGCGCCCCCACGACGCAGTGCCACTCCCATAGTTAGGATCCCTATCCTGCTGCCGGGCAGGATAATTAATTATCAATTTTATAGGCAGCTCCCCTGCATTTGCAGTTGGGCTTAGCTTTTGGCCGGCGGAGTTACTGGGCGGCTGCTGCCACAGATGCAACTGCTGCTCTGGTGTCCGCCGAAGGTCGTCGCGATGTTGTGTGGGCACAACGGCTCAATTTCAATGCTATAAACTACGTCGGCGCCGTTTACCTTCAACTCGCGGCGCACATGGCGTATGTGCAATATCATGGCACGCTGAAAATAACGCTAATTGCATTCTGCAGCTGTTGTCGCCCTGGTCACACCCCAGCTGCCCATTCCTGCCCCTGTTCCTGCTCGGTCCCCTTTCGCTAATAATTGCTTTGATTTGACAAATCGACAGGTTCCTGGTTGCGAGACTAAATTAATTTAAGAAAATAATTGGAAGCTGTCGAAGACGGACTACTTTTATATGTTGTCTGTGCACACGATTTCAATGCAATTAAATGGGTTTTAAATCGCAGATCTATCTGCTTAGTTGGTAATCTAAGAACAATATTGAGGTTTTCCGATTTGACTTAAACTCTTAGTTAACATGAGAGCAAGGAAAACAGCTTCAAATACACTTTGCACTTATAGTTCATTAGAGGAAAGCCATAACTACTGGTATAGCAGTTAATAATTCACTTTCAAAGTGTGATAAAGCTATTAAATTTATAGAACTTTATATTTTAATGCTTACATTAATATTTAATAATTTTCATTTCCATTAAGTTATTCCAGCACTAGGTGAATGTGTTCCACTCAATCAATTACCTATCTATCCGACAGCTATCCATAACAAGTACAACTGGTCACTGACGCAATACCCACTTGGTCTCATTTGTATGCATATCAGGGGCTCATTGTACTACCAAAGATACTATAAACTATATAGACAGTTTCACAGCCCATGCAAATCCAGCTGCAATGGCCCATGTCCAATTGGTAATTACGTTTACATTGCAGCCATAAATAAGGAATTATAATGCCATGCACGTTCATAAAGATGCATGCTCATCCCGCGCCCCCTCATGTCCACATATCGGCGGGTTCCCAGGGAGATGTACCAGCTCTGGAGGCGGATGCGTCCGGGTGCGATCTCTTGACACGCTCCACCAGCGCCAGGCGCCTCAATTGAACACGGTCCACACAAGCTCCTCTAATAATGATTTGTTTCAATTGAAAAGTCAATGCCAGAGCTCCCTCTCCCACTGGCCATTAATAATTTGCTTAGCTTCCATCCATTCGTGGTTAATTAAAAATAGCAACGAAAAAACGGCGCTAAAGACAATTGACAATGGGTGAAAGAGAGTGCGAGGCTTTCTTGTTACTCATATTTGCATAAATATGCGAGAACTTGCTCCCGCTGGTCGTAAAATATTAATGAATAACAAATTTAATTAACCAAGAGTGTGTAGAAGCGGAGTTTCCCTCACATTTAAGTCATTTTGTTGTTCACACACATATTCAAATTTAAACTAAGTGGAGGAATTTACACAGCGGATATTAAGACTCACAGAGAATACCCACCACTTTATTAAAAAAAATTTTTTTTAAAATATGAAACATATATATTGGGGAAATTCCATAATGATTAACACTCTAGTAAACAATTAAAGTTCTTAGTCATGTAAAGCTTTCAGACCTAGAAAAATATTTATAAAAACTAATGAAAAAAAATTAATGAGTTCCTTTCATAAACTTTTTTATATCTTATGCCTCAAAGCTTAGTAAACCCTCAAAAGATTAGTAATTAGTAAGGTTCAAACTATATTTTGTTTATTAATTTTGTTTAACTTATCCAAAATATAAGACATACACCTTATTTTGTTATTTTCATAAGTTCTCATTAAATATTATATTCAAGAAAATGAAACTATCACGAAATGTATCAAAGAAATTTGCAAATAGTTCAGATAAGAGCTGATAATAAAAATGACTGCCCAATAATTCGGTTAGAAACTGGTGTACTTAACTAAAGCCATAAATAATGGTGTTAAAAAACGCATTTACCCAACTACTCTATATTACTGCTTCGTAATGGTTCAGTCAAATTCTGTGGCAGTTTAAGCAGCACAATGACAAATTGAGGGGGGTTTCCCCAGACAATTACGACTGGCCGAGTGAAAATAATCAGAAATGGGAAGGAATCTCACAAGCGTCATAATCACAAAAGCCGAAATGTGCTAAATATTTTTAATACAAAGGCAAGCGTTTAGCTCTGGGGAGCCAAGAGATGCGCTGGGTGGTTGCGGATGTGAGAGGCAGACAAATTGCCGCTGTAATTAGCCGTCATGCATATAAAAGTGCATTCACTTTCATGCCATGATAGAAAAGAGAAAAAAAATAAATAGAATGCCGGGGGGTGAGGGGTGAGGTGTGATGGGCTGGTGGGTAGATGATAATGATGACGCCTGCATCTGCATTTGTGCAAGCATGGCTCGGTGACGTTGCCAGCTAATTTGCACATTTATAGGATTTGATTTGTTTATTATGCATTCGCCTCCGGGGGGAAAAGAGTAGGGGAGGAAACGGCGGCATGGCACACAGAGTGCTGCCAAGTGGGTAATAGTAATCTTCAGACACTTGCACGCAGCAACGAGCTGCGCTTCCGTTGCGCCGACAAGTGCCCTCAGTGCGGATGAGCGATGACGATGGCAGGGGGATGGGGGAGGCAGGGGGTGGTGAAGAAATACCGCCGGAGGACGGCCCGTCATCGTATAGCATTGGCCAGCCTCACTTCATCACTTGTCAGACTAATTGCAGCTGTATGACAGCCGCTTTCGGATAAGTAACAGCACCAGTGGACCACGGGGCGTATGCGCAATGTCTGGCGAATTGCATTTAATACGGCGGCCCGTGGCGTTTGTAAATAATGGCAATTCAAATTCGATTTTCGCACACCAACGCACCATCCTAATTGTAAACAATTCAACTTTAACTTTCTATATCACCGATTTGCGCACGTACGTGCTCGAACTGACCATCCATGGCTGGATCTTTCGGTGGGTGAAATTTACGATTTCACGCCTTGCCATTAACACAATTGATTTTGGCTCTGGGTAAACAAATTTGAAAACGAATTTATATACAACACGAATTCGATCCGGCCGCTTGAGCCAGAAAACTAATGCGACTAATTGCGAAGTAAATCAGCCAGTGGACGACCTATTTTTTCTCAATTTTTCGCACAGGCCTTGTGTTTTATGACTGTTTTCCTGAGAAAAACAAGGCCAAAGAAAATATACGAATCGAATATCAATAGGCCTGTTCCCCGTCTAAAGAAAACTTTGAAAGTCATTAAAAGGCAAATTGTTGGCATCATATACTTTGAGAGGAACAAGTCAGTTCAAATATTGTTCTTTCTATAAAATCTACATATGAACATTAATGGGTATTTTTAGAGATTCATTGTTTCGTCAAGGTATACCAGTCGAGATTTCTATATTCAAATAATTGTAGTCTGGCATTTCTTAATGAATCCTACAGAAGCCGAGCTGACTAATTGCAAGTGAATACAATTCAAAAGTCTTAAAGAAACTAAACTTATAAATATTCCACAACTAACATGTCTTTCTGAATAGACTCTCAAATTGATGAGCTATAAAAATACCATAAAATCCCGGCAAATGAAGGCAAAACAACAAAAAAGACCAGTTGTCAGCGATTTTCATATCAATTCGAGAACACATTTGCAACTTTGTAAGCCCGGCCAAAGCCACAAAACCCCTCGAACACATTTGATTGCCACAAATTGGCGGCAGCTTGACAATTTTTGTGATCGGATTTCGTAAAATGGCACATTTTCACAAATTTTCAAATGCCAAAATCATTACAATGAAGTAGGCTCCCTCCTCCACATGCACACACAAGGATCAAATCAATTCGAATCAATTGAAAAGGCAGCCACAAAGTATTTTACAGTTTTCATGAGGTGGGCGTGCTCCATCCTCTCGTTTCCACATGTGTGCGTGTTTGTTTGTTTGCTGATATATTATGCAAATTTTAGCTACCTTCGGTTGGCTCCACCTCCATCATCGTCCTCCAATTCATCTCGAAACCGTTCATCTGCGGATATCTTTTATTTAGCAAGAATTACGTACCCAACAGAAAGGGAGGAGCAAAGGAAAGGTAGAAACATTGCAATATGGCAATTCCGTTTCGTTCTCGTTCACATTTGAAGGGTCTTTACTGGCTTCCTTCCGCTTGCCGCCTACCTTGCAGCTGCTGCTGGTATGTCCTGCCCGGTTCAGTTCAGTTCAGTTCAGTTCAGTTCGGTTCAGTTGAGTCCGGCCCTAGCTGCATTTTGCTGTAAACAAAGTCAGAGATGCACAGGATACAGCCGGACTCGCAGCCGGAATCGGTCCAGTGTTGTAGCGCAACACAAAAGAATATAGGTCATCAGCCATGGGCGAAATTGCGCTAACAAAAGGTAAATGGGTGCTTCATTCAGAATTTAAAATACAATCTATAAAATATGTAAACTTTGATGGGTCTTGTTTGGTTCTATCTATGCTATTTGAAAATTAAATTATTAAACTCTGCATTTTTGAATAAATTAAACAACAAGCACATTTTTCCTGAAAATGATCAAGTGTCTTACTATTTACAGACCGTCAATCAAACTCTACTTTTGGAAAGGGTATTCCCAATTTCGTTAGCCAGACTTTTATAGAATCATATTTGGTTTCTGTTTAGCTTCACTCCTAATGTAAATCTGTATGAATGTTTAAGTGAATGCTGCTGCTGATCCATTGTTGTCAACATGAATTCACAAATCTATTTCCATTTCGACTTGTCGGTTGTCGGCTGTGATGATGGGTCCTTCTCCCTTGCCCCGCGACTTGTGTCTTGTTAATCGAATAGCAAATCGTTTGGCAATTTCAAATTTAGCCAGCTAAGCAGCAGCGAAAACCCTCCGACTCCCCATGCAACCCCGCCCATCTATTGTGGGGAAGCGCGCCTTTTTGATTAGAATTTCCATTTCAAAGTGCGCACTGATTTGCTACTTTTATGCGCTTCCAATCAGTGGCAAGTCGAGAGTCAAAGCATCCGCCATTAGCATAACCTTACGGCAAAGAGTGGGCGGGACAGGCGCCAGGTGATTGCCAGCTATGTTTGTTTGTCCCCCCTTTGACCTCCGCCTGCGAATCCTTCGCCTGCATTGTTAGGATTCCCATGCTCATTCGAATATGCTTATGAGCTACTCAATATGTTCAATGCTTGGTTATGAGGCTTGGCGTTCAGCCATGTGGAGTTTTCAATTTCATTTTCATGGGGTCCCAGCTCGTGTCTCTGACTACTTAGACGTTCGTCTTGAGTAACCTTTATTTCCTTAGAGGAATGTAAATGTGAATCCATGGACGTCGAAGAGAACTGTTGTTTGCCCAGAACAAACTGTATAACATGTATGAACTATATTATTTATTCAGCTTAACTTAAATTTATCTTAATTTAAAATATACTCTTGTTGTTCACAACATCGACATTTTTAATATTTTAAGTAAAATATGCCGATTTTTTTGCAAATTAAGAAAAGACAGTTCTTTTAAATTCAAAATGTTTTGTGTAATGGTAAACAAGACAGTTCTTTTGATTTTTAAAACTTGTTCAAGAAACTTCTTGTGGTAAGTAAAAAATGTAGATAGCAAAACAAATAATAGTAAGACATGTAATATTCGAGTTAATATATTTCCGTTACATATAATTTGATTTATATATTTTTTATAGAAAGTTTTCTCTTTCTGCAATAGTGCACTTAACCAATGCATCCATTACACTTTATTGGTGCATAAAAACATAAAATATTTTGTGTATTTCCTGGTATGGACCGAGCTTCTTTTAAAGGCCATTTCCGTTTATGCCATTTATGGTTACAATTTACATGAAAATCCTCGAGGCAAATTCGGATGCTTAGAGTGGGTCTCGCAGATTTTACCAGAGGGCCTAAAGCTGTCTTCAACAATCTGTCAGGATAAAGTCATTGTCGTTGTCATTGTTGTTATCCTCATTGTTGTTATCCTGCTGCTGTTTTTGTAGTTGTTGTTGCAAGAGCCAAACAAATAGACGCGGGCGGCGAAAAAAAAACACGGTTCCACACAGAAAAAAAAGGAAAAAGCAAAAAAGGCGCACAAATAAACAAACAAAGGAGAGCAAAGCAAACGTCGCTGGCGGCACGTCCGCGAGCAAGGATGCCAGGACTCTTGCCACACACAGTGGCATATATTCACACATTCCCCCACTGATTTCAGATGAGTCCTGCCGCGTTGCCAACGTTCCCAGGCAGCCAGTGTGCGTAATGAGCTTACCTTATGGATAGACAAAACAAGTTGCTGCTGTGTTGCCGCTGGTGTTGCTGCTGTGGCAGACTTGGGCGCAGCCAATCCTGCAGCACGCGTCCTGCTGCACAATTGGCACGGCTGATGGCGACTTCCTACCCCGTTTCCTGTTGCTGGAGCTTTGTTTTGATGGTGTCTGTCTGTCTGTCTTGGCGCGGAAATCCGTCGCACGTTTCTCGTTGTTCTTTTTTACGTTTGGAATAAATTTACGGCCTGAAGCGCACTAAACGGAAACTGACACATAAAATGCTGTCTGATTTTACGAGCATCTATGGCTGTCTCTGGGGAATATACGATACGTTTAACGGCGTTACGCCTTCGACACGTGGTCAGGTGGGGTGCACAAATCAGTTTATTTTCGATGCATTTCGGAGATTGCTCATACGCAGCGTGGTACACTTGATACGCGGTCATGGAAAATAATTCGCGCGGGTTTCCCGCTGAACCAACAGCAATTTACAATTTGGACAACCGCAAAAGTAGAGGCAGAGAGAGAGAGCAGCAGCTGCAGCAGCACTCTAGTAAATAATAACGTCAACTAATAATAATAGTAATAGGGTGATATTATGAAATTTCAAGCGGTTCTGTGTGGGCTGCTGCCCGCTCGCATTATTTATGGGTTGTCCAAACATTGTCTGGCGGACCGTCTTCAGACGGAATCATAGGTCCCAGTGTCTATATATCTCATCTGAACTCAGTATATATAGCATCATTGTTGCCACTCGCATTTGTTGCTGTTGTTTCATTTATTTAATTTTATACTATGCGCACTCACGCACCCACACCTCGGACCTCGGGGATCTCGGACCTCGTACCGCACTCGTACCGTACCGCTTGTCTTTTCTTTGGCTGCTCGCGGCAACAACAAAACACGCTTCCTGCTCTTGATTCGCACTATTTCCTAGGCGCTGAGGCTGAAAATGCGATTCGACTGGCGACGGCGATGGCGATTTTGACGGCGATGGCGATTTTGACGGCGACTGTTGCGGCGTTCAAGTTCATCACACAACGACTGACCAAGAGCAACTGAGCGCTCGTCTCCAAAGCGAAGAACTTTTATAACCTTCCCCCCATCGCCGCCCCCTTATCCCCACCGCCCACCAGCGGACTGCGACGCAAGCAGCGACGCCGGCAGAGGCCGATGCTCGGATGCTGCCAGCTTGGACCAATCTTTGCCAGCCGACAACGCCGTCGTGTGCTTCTGATGTTGCTCCTGCCGCTGCCGCCCCCGCTGCACCTGATGCGAGCTCTCTTCCACCGCTCTCTTAATCTCTCTTACGCTTTCTCTTCGGCTCTTGCTTCGCGTGGCGCGCAAAACTGTTGCTGTTGTTATTAAACGCCGGCATTACTGGCATACACTGCCCCCAAAGGGGAGTCCCCCGAATTGTTGACGCTCTCGACCAGAAACTAATTAACCAAAATTATTCAAAATTGTATAGATCCCTGAACTCATACCTCATTAAAACTAGGCCGACTTTTTGGCTATTATAAATTAAAGTAATTCTCAAATTAGTTACTTTTTATTTATCATTACTTTTAACTTGTAATTTTAAGCTTCCAATATTTCGTTTTATTTTTAATACTGATTGTAACCCTTACATTATTTAAAAGGAAGGTTTAAAATCAAGCTAAAATATGTATGTAAGTAACGTGGATATCGTTTTTAACATGAAAATGTAAATCACTATTGTACGATATGAAAACCGCAGAAACACACTTTTAAAGAATAAAGAAAAAGATATTATTAAGTAAATACCAAGATCTTTTTAGGATATAGAATTCCACGAAAACGAAAAGTTAGAGTGTGGAAACTTCCACATCAACAAAAGAGTGGTTGCTCGCCTCTTGCATTTCCGTCTGAGGTGTAATGATATAAATCAATTGATCAAATGGGTATTACTACAGCTATCTGCGATGTGTGAACTGCAGTCGCACTGGCATTGGAGCAGCGGAAAGAGGCGGAGATCGGAGATCGGTGGCAAATCGGCGGAGCGTGCCGATAGATAGCTCGACACTCGGCGATCAAGGGGTGTTTAAGGCTAATGTATCTGTCGGTCGGCAGTTGCGAACAATTTGCCTGATAGATCACATCAAATATAATTCTGACAATTTGTCGACACTTCTGTTAGTAGTTGGGCCTTTTGTTTTGTTTCTCGTATTTATTTTGGGGTGGTTAGTTGACGATGATTGTTTAAAGGCAATTTACTGTGCCCCGTTGTTCGTGGCGTTATGATTATATTATTGACAGAGAGATCTCCCCATCATTTGTGCCTCATTTTTCTCTCGGCGATGCCCGAATAATTGTTGCCGGAATTCGGCAACTGAGTGTGCCGGTTTATGATTGATTTATGACTGTGGGGTTCGTGGGGTCTGCCGCATGTTTATTGTTATTTTGTCTCATTACGCGAAAATTTGTTATTTATTTGCTTTGAATAAAACGAATGAAGACAAAGTTGCCGAGGCAGCTCCGCTCTCGTCAAAGATAACAAACAAGATTCTTTGTTCGGTGGCTGAATTGTTGCTAATTGATAGCTATAAATGGTGCTAATTGTGAAATCAAGCCTGAAGTCTAAATTATTATTAGCAAAAAAGATTAGGATATCTTCAGGCTGTTTATCTTAATTAAATATTTCTAAGGGCTATCAGCTTGTGTGCTTTCAGTCTTTCTTTCAAATCAAGTCAATAGTTTGATTGAATTTATGACACATTTTAGACCAACCCACTTGAATTAGACGTAAATAAAGCCATGACTCATGCATCCTGTTGATTTCGGAATCGCCCTCTTTGACGGTAAATATTTTCAAAAAAGGCGGAAATGTTCTTTAAAAAATGTAATAAATTTGTCATCGCCAATGACAGATGGTTTATAGGAAACTTTGAGTGATTTGACTCGTTATATTTAGAACTCAAGATAAAATACGAACCATTGGAAGAATTATAATTGAACGAATTTTGTATGATGATCGATTGGCTTTTAATTAATAAATAGACATTTTAGCCGCTTTAATTCAAATGTTCAAAAATGTAGATGTATAGTTCTGCCATATGTTCTTTAATATTAAGCGATATTACAAATTGAAGTGTTAAAACCATGTGGTTAATCTTTAAGGGGCTTTAATATTTAATAAAAAGTAATTATTCCGTTACTTAAACTAGACCAAATGCTTATTTACTTCCTATTCTTACCACCATTTTCAAGTTTTCATTCACAGCTCGAAAAGCAACTAACACAAATTATCGCATGCGATTTTCCGCTTTGCCTGCGATAAAAAATACTCCCTTATCACTTCAAAGTGCTCATACAATAAACATTATTATTCCATTGGCTGTTGTTTTTGTAGCTGGGCAAATAATATGCAAATTGTGCTGAGTTTATTTATAATTCAGCAACGACAGAAATAATTAGCCATTGAGTGGGAAAACAAATGACAGCGAGCTTTTATCAATGAACCAAACGAAAAGGGGTGGGGTGTTCCGATATAGGAAAAGCAATAAGGGAGGGGCTCGACTTCATCCAACTGCCAAGCGATTCAGTTTCAATTTCAGGCGAGAGTTTCGTTTTGTTTGATTTATTCTAATATTCTAATTGGATTGGCGCTACACGATTTCCATAAATTAAATGGCATACAAATAATTCGCTTACACATTCGATCGGGGGGAATAAAAAGCAAAGTCAGCAGTATGTTTAGCCCCCAAACCCCTGCCCCCAAAACTCCGGCTATATTGCAACGTGCAAGTGTCACTGATTTATGGCCAAGTGTGAGCGTGTGTGTGGTGTGCCAGTTAGCTTGTTTTGACCAAGTTAACTGGTTTAATGGCCCAATGGGGGGAGCACGGCAGTGGTGGCATACTCACTTGTCCCGCTCCTGCTCCGCTGACTCCGCTCCTGCGGCGCCAACAGCGGCAGCTCCAGTTCCATCGCCGGGCTGTCGTGGGTTAAGCCCGAACTTGTACGCTTCGACATCGTATTTCTTAGACGCTCTGTTTATACTTTTAATATTGGCTTTGATTAATGATCATATACTAATTATTGTGATACGCGGAATGGCATTGGCAATGCCAGTGCCGTTTAGATTTCGATTTCTATTTTCAGCAGAAACAGAAGCAGAAGCTCACTTAATTTACGACTTGGCGCCTTTTTCCCGCTCTTATCACGCTCGCGGCGCTTATCAACCCGGCATTGACTGGATTCCGCTGGGGACTGAGCAGCTCTGCTGGGGCACTGGGAATCGGAACCGCACTCCGTTGGCCCACATAAATCACGTTCCAATTACCCGAAATTGGCCAGACGTGTTGGCATTCCCTGGCATTACTATCCAGTAGTTCCAGAACAATGGGTCAATGGGTTCCCGATAAAACTCGGATGAGCCAGGCACTAGGGGATCGGAAAGCGGGATTGTTTCTTGGCGCGACGTGTGAACTGAACGGCGGACGGTGGCTAACTGACTGGCCGGCCAGCAAAAGCCCCAGAGTCTGAAGCGATTGGCGTCGCCTTCGGCTGTGGCTACCGAAATTTACGATTCAACGGCGACATGCCGCTGCAGAGGGTATGGGTATTATGGGATTTTTCATATGCTTGCAGCACACCGTATCGAAACCTGGCTGACAGCCTGGGTTATTAGCACCTCATCCAAAATTCTTTAAAAAAATTTGTGCAATTAAATTCACCTAGGGTATTCAGCAATGTCTATAGCATAATGCCATTTACATGTGTCGTACGCCCATGACATTTACTGCTAGTTTAGGCGGTTTATGAGATTATTAGATTTATAATAATTTAAACATCATTTCCCAAATGTCTAAAAAAAATAACCATAAAGAACCAACTAATATTAATCAATCATTTAGAAGTATTTATACATATACATAAAATAAAAGAACTAAAATCATGGTTTCGACAATGATCTTTAATCTCATTGAATTTAAAAATTTGTATTTCATTTAAATAAGAGTATTCAAACTTCGGCAACTACTCGAGGTGCACAAACTGTTTTTGCACGTCTTGTTTGTTTTGTTTTATAATTAACAACACAAAGAACAGCAGCAAGTTCGTTTATTTGGGGGTTCATTAAAATGTATTTACACGTTCATTGATCACTAGTTTCGAAATGAAAGCTTGCAGGTTTGCTTATTGAGAAGTGATGTGAAGTATGCGGGTGACAGCTGAATGTCATCCTCGAGTGAATCTGTGAACCACATTGAACCCGGGCATAAATATTTTCCTGTGTTTTCAGGTAGTACGAATGATCGCGACTTGACAGGCCTTTATCGAAAGATATGCAAATTTTAGAGAAGAACGTCCAAGTTTGCCAACATCGAGGACAGGTTAATCCACCTTAACGGCGCGATATATTCAATATATTTCTATTGAATTATGATATTTTGCACATGCATTCAAACAAATTTTAGCTATATTTCTTTCTTTCGTGTTTCGTTTTTCTTTTACTTTATTTGTATTCTTAAAGTTAAAAATATGTACGTAGCATTGCGCCATTTTATCTTAATTATAATAATAATAGCTAATAATAATTTAGATGTTTTTCAGAGAATTGCCAGGGGTGACTGAGAATAATCTTTGCTGGTCAATCTTATTTTATAACAAGTAAAAAAGCTGGTCGATGCTTTATATACCCTGGAATTTGTTACGAACATTAAATATTCTATATTTATTTCTTAAATTAATAAGGCTAGTTTGGCAATGCCTTTTTTAAAAAATTTCGAAAAGTGGCCTCAAAATCAAATCAAATCACCATGCCGCTTGGAAATCGGATGTCCACAATCACTTAGAAGTAAACCGCTTTGAAATCGGATGACTGTAAGAAAAGTTATGAGCTTAGAAGTGCAGTTTTTTTACAATTTTCGGCAATGACATTTTTTGACGAAAAATCGACCCAAAACTAAAAACAAAGGTAAAAATACAGATATTTAGAGAATTAAACCAGAATCATTTAGAGGTATGCCACTTTAAAATCCGATTTCTGTAAGAAAAGTTATGGGCTTAAAAGTGCGATTTTTTGTCTGCAAAGCCATTTTTCGAAAATTTGAAAAATGACGAAAAATCGACCCATAAATATAAACCAAGATTTGAACACAGATTTTTAGAGAATTAAACCATAATTATTTAGAAGTATACCACTTTAAAATCTGATGGCTATAAGAAAAGTTATGGGCTTGGAAGTGCAGTTTTTGGCCACTTTTCTGCAAAGCCATTTTTCCAAAATTCGAAAAGGGGTAACACTATAAAAATGATGAAAAATCGACTTAAAATTACAAATAAAACTGAGTATATAGTTTTTTAGAGAATTCAACCAGAATCATTTTGAAGTATGCCACTTTGAAATCGGATGTCGGTAACAAAAGTTATGGGCTTAGAAGTGCAGTTTTTAGACACATTTCTGCAAAGCCTTTTTTCCAAAATTCGAAAAGGGGTATAGAAAATGATGAAAAATCGACATAAAATTATAAATCAAACTGAGTATACAGTATTTTAGAGAATTCAACCACAATCATTTTGAAGTATGCCACTTTGAAATCGGATGTCGATAACAAAAGTTATGGGCTTAGAAGTGCAGTTTTTGGACACTTTGCAAAGTCATTTTTCCAAAATTCGAAACTATAAAAATGATGAAAAATTGACCCAAAATTACAAATCAAACTGAGTATATAGTTTTTTAGAGAATTCAACCACAATCATTTTGAAATATGCCACTTTGAAATCGGATGTCGGTAACAAAAGTTATGGGCTCAGAAGTGCAGGTTTTTGGTCACTTTTCTGCAAAGCCATTTTCCGACAATTTGGAAAGGGGTAACATCATTAAAAATGACGAAAAATCCGCCCAAAAATAAAAACCAAGATTTAAACCCAGATTTTAAGAGAATGAAGCCACGATCATTTAGAAGCATCCCAATTTAACATCGGATGTCTGTAAGAAAAGTTATGGGCTTTTATTATTAAATTTTTGAATAAGTTTGGTTGTGTTGAATTAAATCAATGCGGAATTGAATTTTTGCAGTTCTCTGATGCATTTGTACGGTAACCAATATTTAGACACTTAAACTTTCTAGTTCATATTGCGTGCCATGAGCCGAGTATTTGCCCCAAAAAGCACAGGAATAACCCCTGCATGGAAAGCTTCAGAGAAAACGCAGAAGACAATTTTCCAACCAATTTTCCGTTTTAAGCTCCATAAAAAGCTTTCAGTTTTCAAGTTGAAACTCACCTCAACCGCTGGCGCCAAGGATGTTTGCTTTTCCCAGGATACTGTGGCACGGCGAATCGGAGTACATGAAATGGCAGGGACTTAGCACGCATTAAACAACATCCGAATAAACAAACAATTTCGCAGACAATTGCGTCGAGACAGTTTGAAGCAGCCGCAGTGAATTGCGGTCGAAGGACGAAGGGTGGAATGGGATTATCCCTGCGGAAAAGTGCTCGCTGCTTTGCTTAGGTCGTGTGCCGCTACAGAGATTCACAGAATGGATTTGCTCTGGTTTGGATGCAAAGCGCTAATCGATATGTACCAGACAAGGGTCCTGCGTCCTGTCAGCCACTCCAACTGGGGTGGCCTGCGGTTGATGGCTGCGTTTGCAGCTCCTTGACACTATCAATCTGTTTTCTGTAGCTATCCAGTGTGTGAGAACCATTTGATTCAATTATGCCAACTGACTGATCTCAGATAATCTTGGGTTTTTCGCAAAAAAATCTTTGCAATATAAAGGCTTTCAGCTGAGGGAGTGCCAACATTGATTACGATTGCATCTTGATTTTAACGATTGGCAAATCTGCCTCCATTAATTACTACGTCAGCAGTATAAATGTTTTAATCAACTCGAAAATAAACAATTTGTAATCAGATTTCAAAGTACAAAGTTGCTTTGATTATAGTGGGTGGATTCAGATAGTTCTAAATTAGTTAAAGATAAGATTTAAAGATTCATTTGTTTTTCGGTGCTTATGTTTATAAACAGAAATACAATTTCAGATCATCATCAAAAGGCAAATGGAATTTGTCTTTCTTATTTAAGTGAGCCTGAGAATCAAGGTAGACAACCTATTTTAGCATATTCCCACAAAGTTTCCAACTCAATTAGCCACCTCACTTTAGGGTTACAATGGACTTCTCCAGTAATACTCTTATATGCAAATCAAATGGACTTTGGATATTTATTTTATTTATTTTTGGTTTTCCCACAGTCCGCGACTTACACTTCTTTCGGTGCACTCGTTTTGAAATGCGATAATTTAATTGTGGTGCGATGACAAGTCCACCTCACTGGGTAAGGGTTAGGATTAGGGTGAGGCTATGCAGGAAGTACCAGTCAATAGGGCGGTTTTCCTGCGGCAATTGCAAAAGTTAAATTAACAATCGTGTTTACATTGGTTGGTAACAAGATTTCACTTAAGGATGTCAGCTTTGTTCGCGGCACCACATTCCTATCTGCCGCTCAATCGGTTTGGACTCGAATTCTGCGCTGGATTCGGGCACTTACCCTCCATCAAACCTGATTACTGTCATCAGACCATGGAGTACTGGGTGCGAGGGGTGTGCGAAGTGTGCGCCGACGCGTGATACAAGCAAATTTGTCTGGTAATGAAAAGGTTTGCGCATCCGCCCTGACATATTGCCGGCTCTTTGTTCTCGGGATCGGACTGCTCGGGATTTTCGCGCCTCGGGTTAGGGCACGTGACCTGGTCGCCTGGATGGGCGGGGACTTCTCCGCCCTGACGTGGCTGACGTAGCTAATTTGAGAGCAAACCAAAACATCAAATAAACATAATTCAATTTCAACAATTGCCCCGTGACGTCTGTTGACAGAGACCGCGGCTTCGAGTGGTTCCTGATCCCGTTTCTGGTTTTGGTTAGGTTAAATGATCCGTAAAATGTAGTGACCAGCTCTATCTGCCTTGGATCTAATTGCCCTGGTTCTGCATTGTTGTCATCCCGTGGGAATAAAACTCCAGCAAAGTCAGATCAACAGGTCCCTGGACCCCTATATCGTACTCCCATTACTGGCAGACTTCGCGACCGGATTTCATTGAGAGCCTAGACAGCCATATGTCTGCAAAAATTAAAATAACCTTTAAGAAGGGTACGATAGGGTTATCTGGGGTAGGGCTTGGCAGGTCCCCCATCTTTCGAATATTACTTTTGTACTCCCACATCACCAAAGTGGTGGACACAAACATGGCGGCTTCCTGCTGTGCGAAATATAATGGCAGAATGTCAAAAACAGGTGAAGGAAGCTCAAAGAGAATTCTGGAGCAGAAGCAAAAACTGAAGGGGAGTGGCTGAAATTGTGATTTCTCAGTAAGGGAGACTTAAAGATACCCTCCAATTAGCAAGGATATATAAGATTATATATAATGAAAGATGTGCATTTATAACTGGAAATTCGTTATTTAAATTGAAGTTAAGTTTACTTTATAATCTTAAAAAAATACAACAAAATGCTTATTAAATAACTAAATTTATTGGAAATTAAAATAAATAAAGATGACTCAAGGCCACTTACATCTTTTTAGATTGGTTATTCCGAGCATTTATTTTATCTCAATATTAGGCTCCATATCTAAGTAACCCGACACATCGATTATCATAATTAACTCCAAGTCCAGATCTACTAACAGCAATCGAAGGACAGTCAGAGGCGAATAAGTCCAACGAATTTCCCACAGCATCCGTGCTTTCACTTGGGCAAACACCCTGTACTTGGCAAGCTCCGCCCATCGAGTTGAGGGCGCAAGGCGACTGGCTGCAAGGACACTTAGGGGTTGTTGAGGTCCTGGCCAGAGTTGTGGCATTTCCAATTGGATCCGTGGCACTATAAAAGGCTCGCAATTCCCGGGAGATGGACTCATTAAAGTTTTTAACTTATTGGACAACGGAAGTGCGTGAAGGTGTCGGGAAAATCAGAAATAGTTAACATTTAAAAATACAGAATAGTAATCTTTAGTGAAAAGAATTGAAAAAAATGTCGCGAAACCAATTGCCAGACTCATCCTCCTCGCCACCCATAAGGTACGGTGGTTCTGCATATTACTTTAAATAATATATTATATATTTAATAATTCGGAGATTAAAATGCGACATGCGTAACACTGTTTCCTTGATCTAAACATTTGGAACTCAATTTTATTAGTGTTAAATGTTCGAACAACATTGATTATATAATTGTAAAACATTATATTAATTAAAATTAATATAAACATAAGAAGCTAATATCATCATTATACAGAAGTGCGGCCACGCCCTAAAATTTGATTGAGTTTTGTATGTGCCGACGGTAACTTGACTCACTGCAGTGAGTAAAAAATAAGTAACAATGAGTTTTTGAATAAAAAACTAATTGTAAATATTAATTTTTAAATTTTTTAAATAAATAAACGTATGCTAAATTCATTTTGTAAGACAAAGTACATATCAGAGACATGAATTTCCCATTAGGTGACTACAATTTAAAATGATTTGCAAAAGTCTAAGATTAATTAGAATTTATTAATATTCGTTTTAGATTAAAATTAATTTATTTAAAACAACGTTTTGCTTTCATTATAACACCATTATTAATCCTCCCTTTAGTCATTTACCCTTTCACAACTTTGACGACGATCTGATTAATGATCTGCCTTCCTGCATTTATGCGGGTCAACATCAGGGCGGTAGCGCCACCGGGGGAGGGGGCGGAGGGTCAGGAGGTGGCAACACCGGGCTGCGACTCAGCTCGAATAATCTGCGCCACATCCAACAGCATTATATGCAGCACGGCGGAGGTATAAAGAAAAGGATATATATTTTCCATTAAATCTACATCATTACAATTTAATATTACCAGATAACCTCCTGGACTCCTCAACCAATCCCATGGGGGTGCACAATTCTGGGGGTGGAGCACCTTTGATGTGCAACAGTCCCAGTGCAAGCAGCAGCGGCGGAGGCGCCAACGGAGGATCAGCCACTCCAGGCGGAGCAGTTGGTCCCAATCCTGGGTACGGATCCGTGGGGGCCACAGCGGCGTCAAGCTACAAAATGCAGCGACAGGCGGCCAATGTGCGGGAAAGGAAACGCATCCAGAGGTCCGCCCCAACTGGGTACACCAAATGGTCTTTTCCATTTTACAACTTCCTAAACCCCGAAGAATAATTTGGATTTTGTAACTAACGAGCTTTTCTTTTTTTCGAATTTTCCTTGCGCTTTGCAGTAGTATCAATTCGGCCTTCGATGAGCTAAGGGTCCATGTGCCCACCTTTCCGTACGAAAAACGTCTGAGCAAGATCGACACTCTGCGCCTGGCCATTGCTTATATATCCCTGCTCCGAGAAGTGCTCCAAACTGACTATGATCCTTTGACCTATGTGGAGAAGTGTCTGCGCGGTGAGATCAAAGCGGATCGGGCCAATTGGAATACGAGTGGTGAGTAGAGGAGTTCTTCGGAATATCAATGGTCAATAAACTGTTTGCTTTGCAGATTTAACCGCTCGTCTTTCCTGGATCAACTGGGAGAACCTGGGGGTTCATCCGGGTAGGCGAACACTGCTGACATCGTTGGCTTTATCCTCGGAGCCACTTTGCGGGGCTCACTGTGGAATGCCATAAATATGATCTGAAAATTACAGGCTTAGCCTTTCGACTGCTAAAAGCACTTACCACTTAAACTGTAGATCCTAACCTAAAATACCAAAGTCTTCCCTTTATGGTATAGATCCCCCAATTAAGTTTAAGGCTGTATATATTTCTACAGTAACTAACAGTTAGCAATAGTGATTTATTTAAAAAGCATGCCGGCTGCAACAAATACAAAACCCATTAGCCATTGAAGCCCTCTTCCACGTAAGGAAATAGGTTTTGGGTTCAATGACTGACGGGATAATGCATTTACAAATCAATTCCTCAAATCATATTTCAGGATAAATCTTTTGTAAATAGTATTGAGTATTGGGCAACCGATTCGAGACAAATCGGTTGCGGCTAACACACGTTTTACAGGTAGTCAACTATGTAACAACTTTAAAAGCATTTATATATATAAAAGTAAATACAATTTTTAACTATTAGTAGACATTTACATAGCTTCCTGTCAAAGTACATATACTCAAAAATAAATACTTCTTTGATTAACAAGATAACTTAGAACAAAAATGGTTTGTTGTTGGGTGAACCGTGGGCTAAATGCGCTGCTGTTGGTTAGGCATATATATATATGTATGTTTATGCTCTATATAGTCTACATGCGGAAGATATTAACTATAAACTTTTGGCTACTACTTCTACTACAAAAGGTAGGTACACATTCAGTTAAACTAATCTGTTCTTTTCTGTTCCATTTTAAATTTCGCTTTGGTAACTCGATTTGATTTCGTTGGCTAATACACGAATTATTTTGCTCTTAACTACAATTGGGCTATAATGGTAATACAAATGCGCGCACATATAGGTACGTACTATATAGAAACGATTACATAATGCACACTCACAATCATGGACATAAAAACAATGACACGGGTGAACTACGCTTCTAATAATTGAATTTTTCGATTGCTTCTCCAATTTGTTTTTGGTTTTGTTGCTATTGTTTGATCCGTTGGTCATAAAGCCCTCATTCTTTCGGTCTTTTTAGGCCGGATTGAGCACGGCTACCTTGCGGAGGCTCTCCAGCTCGCTTCGCTTTAGGCGCATTCTGAACATGGCATCCACAAAGCCATGACAGTCCGTCACAATGCTGTCCTGGATCATGATGTCCCGGAATAAGTTGGCCAAGGCGGCTATGTCGTCGCAGGCCAGGATTTCGTTCTTGTGGGTGACGAACATGGCCAGGGCAGCACGGAAAACGATCTTATAGCCCTCAGAGAAGACGCAGTCCCAGATACGCAGCACCGTCTCCACGGGCAGCACCTCGGCAAAGATGCAGATGAACCATTTGCTGGCGATCACCGGATAGGGTAGTCCTACAGTTTTGCGGATTTATAAATGATTTAGTAACGTTAAATAACCCCACATTGCCTTAAATCAAATTTTGTAAACTTACCCAAGTTATCCACATGCCGGTTCACAGCGGGAATCCGCCGGATTACCAACTCCCGGAACACAGCCAGATCCCTAAGCAGATTGGCCATGTTATGTGAGTGGTACTGCGGCACGATGTTCTCCACGATATGCTTAAGCAGCCAAAAGGACTTCTCCTCGTCGTCGGTGACGATCAGAAGCAGGCCAGCTATGTAGTTGAGGCCCTGGCAGTAGCCCACATCCCGGTTGTGGTGGGCGTAGGCGATGAGGATGTTGTATAGGCGTTGCTTCTTCGTGTCGAAGTGAATATTGTCGGGGAAGGTTCGAGGTAGATCGATTGATATGGAATCGCTGATTTCCTTGTCGAAGGGCTCAGTACGAAGCAGTTTGCGAAAGAGATCCGGGGAGCGTCGCTGGGCGGCGGCGGCGCCAGATATTTTCATCCAGACGTCGGGACGGTACGGACCAGGTATGCCTTTTCGTATGTACCGCTTCAGCTTGGCGTCCACCTGGGTGAGATCGGTGTTCTGCTGAAGAATAGCCTCCCATTTCATGCGCCGTCGCGTCAGCGTTTTCAAATAGCCATCCATGAACTTGGAGTAGTTGTTATAGTCGAAGTGGTCGCCACGCTTGAAGCCATACTCATCCACATCGCTAACCAAGTGCGGTTAGATAGTGAAATTATTAAAAATGAGTGAAAATGCAAAATATAACTGGTTACTCACCTAAACTTTGAACTTGCGGTAGCATCCATATGAACTAATGACTAGACTTTCTATTGCTCACAATGAATAAGTGTGGTTTTGTTGTTCACTCGCCACAAAATCCTGTCAGCCGATCGACGTTCGTGGCATTGGCATGGTCCGAATAAATAGTTTTGGTATTCAAAGCACGTTTCTTGGTTACGTCGCTGCCTTGCTTCTGCAGCAACTGCAGCGGATTGAATCTGCGTTAAAAGTCAATAAACATTGCCTGTAACTTGGCCCTTCATTTATTTATAAGACAAGTTAGCCTTGCGAGCACTACCTTTGCCTACGATTCGTCCTTGAGCGGTGGGTGGCCTTTTGTGCGCGCCCACTCGATGTTGCTGCCTCTGCTGCTGAACTGATAACATTAACGGACCGACGACCAAAATGGGTGGGCGGCCGACACACAGGTGTGGTGGTGGTGTGCGTTGGCGGATGGGGGTGATCCGCTGGGCGCGCGCTTGCAGGTGGTCGATGGCAGTTTATCTAATAATAGTGATTTCATTGAAGATTACTGGTCCTCGTATCAGTGGGCTTAAGTTGGTTTATTTTTGTTTTTATTGCAAGGCGAACAAAAATTCGCGTCTTGTGACTGGTGAGACCAGCGGCAGGAACGCGGAAAACGCCACAAGACGAACCAGTTCCATTCTGCGATAATCGCTATGCGATATATCGATGTGCTAAATTAATGTACAAATATAAAGATGGCCTTTCTAGAAATTGAAATATTTGACAGTAACAAGTTCCATGTAAATAGTTTAATTTTTTTTAGTTTTCGGCCTTGCTTGCTAGGTAAATAAACGATTTTAATAACTTTTATATTATTTGTGAAAACTAGAACTAAACGGAATTTTATTTATGAATTATGCATTTCTTTTAAAATGTTAATTTTTTTTATTTCGCGTGTTTTTATAATGTACAAGTTATATTTAATTAAAATTTTACTTGTTTGATTTACGAAATTCCGATATATCGGCAGCTGACCAGCCACACGTGACCGCTGCGAACATCTGTTGCACGAATCACCCGCTGCCGTCATTCCGCTTCATACGTCATTCAGTCGTATCGTGCCTTGACAAATTACGCAATGCCTAACAACTGATGTAAAACACAAGCAATTTTACCTAACAGTTGACTAAATTACGTGTGTACACACACTTCGATCGACCCAGCGAGGCACTTCATCCAGCGCTGACCCCTTCGAGATGCTGCGCACGACGGCGACGATGGGTATCATGGCTGCGGTGGCCGTGAAAGCGGCTCCCGAGACCCAAAAACCTGCATCCAGCGCGGCCGACTGCAGCCTGGTGTGCCGGCCCAGCGAACTGCCCATCTACGGCAGCTTGCGCAAGACAGAGTGAGTGTTTTGGTTCAGGATAATATCGTCCACTAATTCTTACTCTCCCAAAGACCCAAGCCGGAGCGGCATACTCCACAAGATTCGGTGCTGCACAAGAATTTGGAGGCCGGAGTCCGATTTGTCCGCGAAGAGGTCCAGTCCGGATACAAAGCTGTTGCCGACCAGGCCGGCATTGTGGGCCATTACGTGGACACGGCCAAGGCACACACGCGGCACACCATCGACCTCCTCAATGAGCCCCAAAACTCGCTGCACCGCAGTGGAGCCATTGTGGTGGGCGGTCTGGCCGGATTCATCTTCGCCGCTCGCGGCGGCTTCATCAAGAAGGTGGTGTACACCGGCATCGGAGCGGGGGCGGTGGCCTCCCTCTGCTACCCCCGTCAGGCGGAGGAGAACTGCCGCGTAGTGCTGTACGAGGGCCGCAAGATCTTCGCTGTGGCCTACAACTTCATCAAGGGCGTCAAGCCCGGCGAGGAGGTGCCCATCGAGCCCATCCAGAAGTTCCCCACATCGCTAGAGGACCTCAAGTATTTGGCCGGCGACCTGTACGAGGAGGCCAAAGATCTGATCTTCCCCAAGAAGAAGTAAGAGGTGTCCTGCTCCTAAGCGAACTCTTGAACCACCACCCCATCCGGCCGTGAAGTGTGCATCGATTTAAGTTGAATGGAGCTTGGATTCTTTCCGATTATGTGATCAAGCTGGAAGTAGTTATCTCTATTATTGTTGCCAGAAATAAATTGGCCTCGCGTCGCAAAAGTGAAAACCCGGTATATCTTGGCTTTTGTATGTGTGTGGGCCGTGGCCAGAACCCGCTCTCACATGAATCTTCGAGTGATTAATTGTTTGGCTGACCAGAGGTGTTGGTGTCAAGTCAAATGTCACGCCAGTGAGCTGTTGAAAAGTGAAATCCGGAGGAAAGTGGCGACTGCGGATGTCTCCCATCTCCCCACGTGCAAATCGATTGTGCCAATCATCTTCAATGGCCTGCAGCCGAACATGGCGATGACTGCAAATTGTGTGAATGGTTTTGGCCATCCGTTGGGCCCTCCGGGCCTACAATTGCTGTGGAGGAAATCGGCTCTTATGGAGATGGGTATCTCGACTGGACCACTTCACCGAGGGCTTCGTTATTTATTAGTAGACTATATTTTCAGTAATCTTTTATTGCTCTCGAGCTTTCGCATCGCTATAGATAAACTTGTTCTTTGGGCAAGATACAAACAACGTTCAGATGTCTGCATGCATTTGTTTACAATAAATATAGATTTAGTTAATTGTTAAATATTACTACACTAAAATACCAACAACTTGTGGACATGCAAATGACTCTCCATACCCCCCTTCCCCATCCCCCGATCCCTTCGGCTATGTACAAATAGATAATCCCTTTGAAATTCCATCTTTTTCCGTGTTAGACAACTTACGGCGCTAACATTTTCGCTAGACTAACTTAGTGGGCGTTGACTGTGTGTGGGTGAGTGCGTGTGTGTGAGTGCGGACAGGGGCGTGGCAGCGGCCCACAAGGCCAAGTCAAGGTCAATGCTGTTAAAATTGTTAAATTGAAGCTAACTACGCTTAACATTCCTTTAAGATAAATCACACAAGACTTAAAGATACAACTGATAAATTAAAACAATAACAAAAGTCGAGCTGCCATTATCATAATCGCCATTATTTCCGGGCTGATCATCATCTGACATGCTCCAATATCCAGGGCGTAAACTTGGAGATGCGCGTACAGACTCCGGGCAGATTGGCCTCGGCACAGCCAATGCCCCAGGAGATTATCCCGGCCAAAAAGAAGCGGCCATCCTGCGACTTGGCCTGGAAATATCCAAGATTGTGCCTTAGCATATTTTGATTTGGGTTTCTAGATTCCAGATCTCACCTGCAAAGGTCCTCCCGAATCGCCCTGGCAGGAGTCCTGGCCTCCCGTCTCGTAGCCCGCACACAGGAATATGTCCGGAATAAATTCCTGGCGACCGGCTCGCATAAACATCGACTTGCAATTGTCGTTACTCACAATCGGCACTGAAACCTGTTAGAAGAAAATTTAGTATATGGTAAAAATTAGGATTACAAATTGTATAATAATTTGTTATGCCTGATAAAAAAACAGGATATTAACAGGTTGAAACATATTTTTTGAAGATTACAATTTTCAATAGCTTTTTACTAGACTTTTTCCGAGTCGTTTTCTGTACTTATTTTAACAATAAACATTTATAGAGTAGCTAAAATATTAAAAATATTAAAAATATAATGAAGGTAAGTTCCTTAAATACATTTAATGACTTTGGGCTTAAAATCCCTCAACTATTGATATTTAAATCACTCGTAAAGTTATTTGTATCTAAGTTTAAAGAGTATGTTCTTTTTCTTAGCCATGGAAATCCCTTATGATGTTTCTGACTATCCCTAATTGCTATTTCCCCATCCTACCCCACACCAATTTTCATTTGCCTGCATTCCATTCGTTATGGTTCTCATTGTCGCTGGAGCTGGAAATGGAGCTCAAACTGAAGTAACACTCACCTCTTGGAGGACGGAGGGCAGGGTGCCGCCCTCGCTGAGGCGACCCCAGCCGGTGACCGTGGCGTTCATGCCAATTAGAAGGCTCTCCGTCTCGGGCAGGCAAATGGGACTGACATGCGGCGCGAATTCGAGCGGCTGCTCCAGCTTGACCAGCGCCAGGTCGTACTCGTACGTGAGGAAGCTGTACTTGGGATGCACCACCTTCTTGGCCACCCCGCGCTCTATGTAGGGCAGCTGTTCCTGCACATGCGAGAAGTCGTACTCGCCCACGCGGATGCGTATTTGCGAGATTAGCAGGCTGCAAATGGAAGAGGGGCAGAGATTAGCTGGATCTGGATCTGGATCTAGTCCGGTTTGGGAGTTGGGCTGCGGCCTGGGCCAATCCACTCACTCGTCCACGCAGTGTCCGGCGGTGGCTATCCAGTTCTCGTTGATCAAAGCGCCACCGCAGCGGTGGGTGCTGGAGAATCCGAAGAAGGAGGTGCGCCGCACCGACACCTGCCAGGGCCAACGACCGAAGGCCGCGCTCTTACCGCCCACGATCCGCGTCTCTGGACGCGCCAGCGTCGGCACTCCGCACTCTGCAATTGCAGCAATAACAAATTGCATTGTCAGTTGGTTGCTTGGAAAGGCCAGCACATACGTATCAATTCGGTGGTGTCTCGCGGTTTGGGATTCTGTATCTCGAACTTCCCAAATTGAATCTTTATCGGTCTAATGAACTACGAGTCCGCAAAAAAATCTAACTTGAATTTCACCCGAAGTGACCATAAATTAACCAAACGAATGTTATTTAAGTTTGTTTCTAATCAATTATCAAAAATTCGAATCAAACTACCTGTACTTAAATAAAATTCGTTTATAATTTGAAAATTTAACAAAGTATGTTAGTTTATACCCAATATATACTCGTATCTGGGAAAAACGCATTAGGATTTGTCAAAATAAATTTATACTTTCTCTGGTTTAGACCAGAGCCCTTCAAAGTAAATTCTACGTTTATTGTTGTGTTTGGGACTATTATTAAGCTTGCCCCGATATAAAATAATGCAACTGAATTTTAAATAACAGACTATTCTGAAGTTCGGCAGAGAATACTATTTCCGAAACGATTAAGTATTTTATCAGAATTATCATTTAAGATATTTATGGGAACTGTGTGTGATTTTTGTGAGTGCAGGGGCTTGTCACTTACCACTTCGCGCCGCCGAAATGGTCTTCACATGACCGAGAGCTCCGGAGTCGGGGCTGGAGGAGGAGTCCGTTATCTCGTTGGTCTCGATGCCGGAGGTGGCCAGGACCGGCGGTCGGTGCGTGGGCTGCGTTGGCCGTTGGCTGGTGCTGCTGGTGACGATTCCGCTGCTGCTGCTGGAACTGCTGGGGATCGGCCTGGTCGTGGTGGGTGTCTGGCCCGAAGTGGAGCTGGAGATCGCCGTGGTGGGCCGCTGGTAGGGCCTTGTGGGCTTGCTTGTCGTGGTTCTCCTTGTTGTGCTCGCCGGTGTGGTTGTCCGACGAGTGGTGGTTGTCGTTGTTGTGGTTGTCGTCGAGGTGGTTGGCGATGGCCAAGCCGAGGACGAGGATCCGGCTAATGATGTGCCCGGCGACAGCTGCAAGGCAGGCCAAAGTGGTAAACATTATGCTAAAATACTCGAATGGGCTGGAGCGGCAAATCATTCTCCATTCCCGTTCCTCATTCCCCATTTACATTCCCATTCCACACAAAGAATCAATTTTTCATTTCGCCGCTAAATCTGCATTAAGTGGGAAACTTTCGAAAGGTTTCAATTGAAGTCTGGATGCTCTAACTTGCCTACATTTTATTGGCTATCGGTCTAAAAAATTCAATTTCGGCATTTATTTAAATTAATTGACAGAAACCATTTTATTTTTAGGTTCTCTGTATCTCTTAGACATGCACATGCTTAAAACCATTTATTATTATGATTATTACCTTCAATAAAAATGCAGAACGGTTTCATTTATATTTTTATAAAACATTGTAGTACGCTAAAAGGGTTGTCATTAATCCTGAGTAAGTAACTTAATGGGTAACTAATACAGTAAAATTTTATTGCTTTAAGTGCGTTCTTCGAAACCGAACTTAATCCTTTCCCGGACTTCACATTAGCAAGTGGCATGGTCTGCTCGAGGTACCCTTTCCTGGAAGAGTCCTAAATTCCACACACACCCCTGAGAGCGGCAGGCGAATCTTACATCAACTTTTGGCTCCGGCTCCGCATTGTGCAAACAATAAAATGTCCCCCAAGGCTGTGGCCTGCCATTATGGGGCTGCGGCCGAGGCCCAGTCCCAGTCGAGGAGTAAATGACCTCGTGGCTCGTTTGTTTCGCTTTCGACATCAATGCATCACCCAGACTAAGACTGAGACTGAGACTGAGACTGAGACTGAGACCCAGAACCTGAACCTCAGCCTGAACATGAACGTGAAACTGAACCCGAGCCTGGACCTGTACTCGTATTTACATACCTGCGGCCTGGTGGGGCGATGCGGCTGGGGGGATGCGTCTGGCCCGGCCAAATCAGCGACGTTGATGTCGTCGAGGTGGACGGCGCGGCGGACGGAGGCGGCGGTGTCCGCTCGTAGACAATCGGTTTCTTTGTGGGCTTCGACGGCTTGGAGGGTCGCGCGGGCATTGGCAAATTGACTATGCCGGGCTTGGTCCAGCCGGTGGGTCGCGGCTTGGTAATAAAGCTCGGCTCGGTGGTCATCTGCCAGTGGTTCTGCTGATTCTGCTGATGCTGCTGCTGCTGCTGCTGCTGGGTCGATGTATGCCAAATGCTATCTGCGGATGGTATTTGTTTGTTACAATTCCTGCTAACAATGCACCACCGCTGGGCGGGGGCGCCAGGTCCCCTTCCCATCCCTATTTCCACTCACTGGGATTCGAACTGGAGCTGGAACTGGAGCTGGGATGCGAGGCGGAACTCAGCAGATCCGAGGCCGTGGTGGGCTTGCTCTGGTAGGGCGGCGGATGCGGACGTGCCAGAGTTCCCTGGTGGTGCGGACCCGAAGGACGAATCACGAGGGTGCCAGCGCCATGGGGACGCTCTATGGTGGTCATACCGCTGCAGGTGATTTAACGGAACATAGAAAAGACACATATTAGTTATTTGTCCATTTTTCTTATCAACTCTTCACTATTACAAATGGTTATAATAATGTTTTTTATTTAATAGATAGATATTTTTAAATGGAACTGATAAAAATAGTAATAGTTGTAAATAGTATTGAAAGTGGACACTTATTGTGAATATATGATGAATGTTAAATCATAAAATATGTGTTTCCTTTTATACATTTGTTTTTAATTTAAAATAATTGCATTTATAATATTTTGAATCAACAAGAAAGTTAGCTTATAACATATGTATGTTATACAAGTATTAAATGCATAAAAACATTTGCTTATCGACATTTACAAGTATTTATCAGAATTACTTAACTCTTTATAAATATCATTTGATAATATTATAAATTAATTGCTATTTTTTCCTTCAATTATCTGATTGCTCACCTGATCATGGGCTTGTAGGGCGAAGGAGGTCGCGGGCGTAGCGTGAGCGGCTTGGTGGGTCTCGTGTAGGAGAATGCTGTTTGCGGCAGGACGATGTTGTCCGTGTAGTTGTGCGTGCAGCAGGAGCCGAACATGAAGGAGTCGACGCACATGCCCACGTGCCGGCCCTCGGACTTGATGCACTCCCACACGAACATGCAGGTGCCCTCGACGCGGCCGAAGGAGCAGGGCTTGGGGCTGATCTTGAAGTTCTGGCCGCGCTGCAGCTGCTGCATTTGGGGATAACCCTCCAGGCGGTGCGGGCTGCGGTAGAAGCCGCCGGCCATGTCGTCGTCCTCGTCAGCGGGGGAGGAGAAGGAGGAGTCGGCCAGCGATAGCGACTCGAGGCTGTCGGGCGGTGTGATCAGCGCCGCTGCCGCCGTGGCCAGGCAATTGACTAAGATTAAGGCTACTAATACTTCTACTATTTGGTCTAGACTGCGCCTGCTCCTCCTCGCCGCAGCTCCTCCAGATCCTCCGGAGCCCGCTGCTCTGTTGTTGTTGACTAGCCAATGCCGTTTGGGACACATCTTGGTGGCTGCCGCTGCTGTGCTTCTTCTGCAAGGAACGGGCATGACAGTTTTCGGACATTAGTCTTGTTTCGCCTGCCGGAACCCATCCACCAGAACCCTGTTTGGGCCCCCCACCCCCCGCCGCTTGGCCCCCCACTAATTAAGCGCACTTGTCGCAACAAAAAGTGGCAACAAAAAAAGCCAAAGTCAGGCAGCGATTTCTACTCTTTATGATTGTTGCTGCTGCTGCTGTTGCTGCTGCTGTTGCTGTTGCTGTTGCTGTTGCAGATGTTGCTGCTGTCGCTGCAGTTTGTTTTTGTGTGCTTCTGCTGTGCAGTCAGTGACTGGTTTAATTACAACTTTTCACTTTTGCTTCATAATCAGTTTTTTTCGTGGCTGTTGTCTTGTTTTATTGTTGAACAAGACTTGAAAAAATTTATTGCGATCGCACGACGACGACGACGACGTCTAACGACACATGCTACAATTAATAATTTCTTGTCCCAAAAGCAAGTGCACTGCTGCCCCACCCCTTCTCTTTCCAGCTGCAGCTCATCAAAGCGGAATCGTTGTGTTCGTTTTTTGTTTTTTTTTTTTCTTTTTTTAACAAATTTAATTAAAGTTTAGCCAATCCATTGCTGGCCAAATTAGATGTTTGCCTTTATGGTTTGTAGCCTAAACTGGTAGCACACATCGCTGCCTTCTGTTGCACCAGCCCCACAACCCCCTCCTGCTCGGGTTGTCAACTCACCTGTGTCTGAGTCTGGGGCTGATTAAAGTTGCTTGCTTCATCGGTAACGTGCCGGGCGCATGTCTGCAATGGATAGCACGGAGAATAGTAATAATCAGTATGGTTAGCAGAAGTCGGTTGTTATTAAATCGTATGCTTTTTTATTGTGCCAGGCTGGCTGTGCTTTATGCTGTCGAGAATGCCGGGCGGAATGTGCCCAGCTGTAATTAGTGAGATATCTAACCATATGCGGTCATGCATACCGTGGTGCCGGTGGATTCGGTGATGCACTGGCTGGTGGTGCAGCCGGCCCACCCACCAGACAACCCACACTCACGAGATTGCGGTATTAGCCGGCAACAGATCGTAATCACAAGATCGCCATCATCACGCTGATGGTCATATCCTTATGTACGTGAAGATGATAATGGGGGTTTCGCGGAAGGAAATGTGTCAGGAGTTGGGGCCTCCGTGGATGTGCGGACCATACTTTGGGGGCGGGATCAGGGCAATTATGCGACACTTGGGGGTATTATGCTATTCATGAAAGCTGCGATACTGGAAAGTGGTTGTCGGGGGAGTAAGTGGTTAGTGATTAACAGAATCATATTTAAATGGTCTTATCGACACTGATGGTTTCATCTAGAAAGCTAAATTAAGTGATAGGTGATGTTATGACGGAAAATACATTTCCAGGATTGAAATTCGAAGATACTTTGCAAAATGTTATGAATATTGGAATTTAAAATTCTACATTTTAATGTATTTTTAGGCCAATTATATTTTCTTTTGTTTGTTTTGCAATATTTTATACCTACTGATCTTATTCATGTTCTTAAAAAACATTAATTTAAAGAATCAACACTTATTGTTAATTTCTCTATTAGTAAAATGTATCATGGTGGCAATTTTGATAAACATCACTTATCCATTTCGATTACCCCAAACTGTAATCAACAATTTAATGGTATTCATCCCACGTTTACTTCAAAGAGCATAACACAAAAAGATTTAATTCGAGACACACATACAAGATTAACTCATACAAGAGGTAGTCAAAGCAGGCCCCAACCAAATCCCGTTTATCGCCTAATCATCTTAATGTTGATTATAATTACAAATCGTTTGAATGCAATTTGATACCAAATACTTTGTGCACATCATTGGCTTGGAAAACGCTTCATGTCCATGTTGATTGAAACCGAAATTGATATTGATGTTAGAGTTGGAGTTGATGTGGATGTATATGTCTATGTGGCGGTTGCTGTGCCGCGGATGAACATGTGCCTCGAGATTAATTTCAGCTTTGGCCCCGAACATATTCCCCACATCATGGCCGACTTCGTGCCGAGTTCTCCGTGAGCCTCTCGAATCGATTCATCAATTGACCAGCCCGGCTGAGACTGGGACTGCGACTGCTCAATGGACTCCATTGAGCCAGAAACGCAAACGAAACGTTAACGCTAGCGCTCACTCCTAATAACTCTATTTCCAATTGGAAGCGGGGGTAAAGATGTGCTTGCCCCTGCCACACGCCTGCTACATAGCGATCCATTCAACGCTTGAACCGTTCGAAATCGATTTCGTTACGTTTTCATTTCCTCAACGAAAGCGGCAGCAGCAGCAGCAGCATCTAGTTTTTACTTCTTCTCGACTTTTTTGCCTTCTGTACTTTTGGGCTTGGTTTTTTCGCAAGAGAGTCGGTCGAAAAATACCCAAAATGTAATTACCCCAAAACAGAAGCAGGGGAAAAAGTAGCAAGTCGAAGTAGCAACAGCAATCTCTCGTGCTAATGACTATCTTTAGGAGCCCAAAACGAGCCAAAGACGGGTAGCAGCAGCGGTCTGACAAACAGTCAAATGGCCAGACATCGACTCAGGCCTAGACAGACAAAGACTCAAATCCAGCCAGAGGCCAAATAATTTTCCAGCAAAACGCTACAACTATTAGAAAAATGTTAGCCCAACTTGGCTGGGTTTCGGCTTGAGTTTAAGAACTCAGTCATGCTCACTGCCAAAAATGGTCTATCTACGTTTTGATAATTAAAAGTAAGAAGTGAAAATGGTGGATCTAACAACTAAGACTTTTAACTAGATTTCTTTGTTTTTTTAATCAGCATTGAAGCGCAAGCGGGAGTTTCTTCAAATATTATTTACAAGTAGCTGTTGATAATTGGTTCTGCTCTGGTTTTCACTTTCAAATATTTTTTAACGGATTTTTTACTTAACGAACTTTTTATTCTAACTTAATAAAATTTTTAACTGAAAACAAGAAAGTTCAAAACTTTTTTTTTTAATATTCAAGCTGGATTCAACTTACTTTATAAATATTATGTGACTTCTATTAAAAATAAACCTAGTTTATGTAATAGTTAACAGAAACTCTTTGGTATTAAAAGATATCAGACTTAAGAAAATATCGACTATTTGTCTGCCCTTTTTAGTAGTACTAAACTTTTCGCTCAGTGGAAGTACGTGCTGAGCTGAACTTAAAGCTGGGCCTGCAGCAGCCAACTTAGTGGAAGAGAGTAATTGTAATAACAATTGCGCAATTTGCGTCAGTCACTTAACTTCCTCCGCCCCTCCCCCCCACACCCCCTCCTGCCCTTTTTCCACCGCTGTTGGCGTGTGGTAAAGTGAGGAAAAGTCTCAGCCCGTTTAGTTAAGAGCACTCCCGGCTGGGGGCATCGGCATCTAGCTGCAGCATCGGGTATCGGCTTTGGAGGATGGGGATGAGGATGGAAGACCCCTGCCCGGTAGGCGTTTTGTCAATCCGCTGGCGATCGACAGGCGACGGCACAGATGACAGGCCGCCCAGGCTAATGAAAAAGATAAACAACTGGATCACACAAGCCACGAGCCACTTAAACAGCCTGACACGCAGCCAATGATACACGGTCCAAAAATTATAGTTTCACATAATTTAATTGATATTTTATATGTTTAAAACTATGCAATCATGTCAAAAAGCTGATACATTTTTTCCATAATATAAAATATTGTAATATAACTAAATCTTCTATTAAAAACATAAACGGTTTTAAAATTGCGTATATATTCTGATACACTGAATAATAAAGCCATTTAATTATAAATTTGTTTTAAGAAGAATGCTGAACAATGTTGGCTTTTATATTGACATTTAGAAATAATGGCCCTGCTTTTGTCTCAGTGAAGATGAGAAGGGCTTCTTTCGAAGGGGCAGGGGATAACTCCAGATGAAGCTGGGGCTGGCGGCATCGTTTGAGATAGTGAAAGAGGGATAGTGAGCGAGAAAAAGTGAAGAAGGGGCTCGGAGCTTGTTATAATCACTGCGCGTAACGCAAACACATATTTTGAGTGGTCCGACCATGTGAAATCCATTCCATCCATACCTGGAGGCGGTCACTCGATGCTGCGACTACAACCTCGGACTGGGAATACCAGTAAGAGAATCTCTGGAAGTGCGACGTGTGAGTACTGAGAACAGTGAGGGGGAAAAGTCGCTGCACCTGAGCCGACCGCTTATCAATGTGAAAATCAAAAGAGCTAAGCGAACGAGTCTCAAACAGCGGAAGCAGCGCAGTAAATTGAAAGAAGTGTTTAAAATCTCGTTATAACTGGGAAAAGCTGTAGGAAATATGGAGCTATAGTCCAGCATGATAAATGGCATTCATTTGATATAGGGATTAATGGCCAGAAACCGTTTTACGCGCCAAGAAAAAGTTCTAAGTGAGTATTATTAATAGGCACGGCTATTTATATATGCTAACTTGTACGCAGTAATGGGACCGTAAACTAAACTAAAATTATCTTTTACAAAGATTATTAACTTTAATGGAAAAATGCAGATTTTATGAGTATGCTCACATCAGTGGAACACAACATACATATATTAATGGATCAATAAACATGGCATTACTTTTACTAAGAAATTTTGACTTAACATCGTAGTTTAAAGGCATAAATTATTGCCCCTGAGGACTTTCTAATTGAGTTATAAAATTTTAGTTTTGCATTTTCTCGCTTTTTTTCACGATTTTCCTAAAATTATTTCATTAACAAGTGGTAAATATTGCAGGATGCTGTTTATATCTCAACTTTCTTTTTGTATTCAACCCGTCAGCACTAAGTTTATGGCCTGGCGCCTGTTGGCTGATTGAAAACATTTGCTAGCGGAGAGCGTTAATTAATTGCGTTGCAGCCTGATAGAGCATTACGCATACGCAATGTGGAACGCATCCTACGGCTTGGCATTTGCCGGGGCATTAATTTCGGCTTTAGTCGTTCGGGCCTAAATAAAACCAACACGTTTCCAACCTGTTAAGTGTCCGAGACTGGGCCACAAACATAAATCACCGCCAGAGCGGGCTTGGCTTGGCTTGCTTTGGCTGGTTTATTAACCTCGCGCGGTTAATGGCTAATGGTTGAAACCTAGTGGCCAATGGCCAGTGGGCATGGTCAAGTGCTATGCAACCTGTGGCTGCCTCTCTGCTGCACTTGCACCTCTGACTGACTGACTGACCGCAGAGGGCCCCCAGCTGTTATTGTTGTTTTGTCCGTTTGGTCTGTTTGTTTGTTTATTTGTTTTCCTTCCTTTCTTCGCTTTTGTGGGCTTTCCCGCTGCCAACGAGAAAAAGGGGGTGATCTGGCCCATTGTCCAAATATTTACTTTGTCTTGGCCCAGGCTCAAGCGGCATGACGCTGCCGCTTTTGAGGTCGGGTTCTAAAGTGACTTCTCGTAATTTATTTTCCACTCCTCGGCATAATTAATTCGGTTTTTCATTTCCAGTTTGCTTTTCTCCCAGCACCTATTCTAAATAGCTTCATTTTCGATTTCATAACGGTCGCTGGGGGCTCGCAAGTTGAATGGATTGGTAAATTGAAAGACCTCATTTCGGGCACGATCATGGGATCGGTCCCAATTCCAGTCCCTTGAGGAAGTTACGGCAACACGTGCGTAACCGTAACGCTCCGATTTGGCCGTAAATGAGGGCCCCAATCGAGGCGAAAAAGTAACAGTCTCTGCAGCGCAATCGTAACACTTTCGGCCAGCGAAATACCTGGCTAAAAATGTTTTGAACCAAAGTCGTGCAAGCGCAATCACTTTTTAGCTTCAGTTCGGTGTGTGACAATTTGACAGATTGAAAGTGAAAAGAGCTCGAAGTAAATGTCCCTAAGTGCTGGTAAAGGGATGGCTGTGGCCTTATCGTTAATTTGCATGAAGTGCACGTTGCCATCACTTTGAGCACGCCCCGAGCGAAGTCCCATGGATGTGGACGCAGTGGGTCAATCAGCATTCACTTGTCCCATTCGCAGATGACAACTCGAGTGGCAGCAAAAAGGCCTCCGGGCAGATGAGCTGCAGAAAGTTAGAAAAGAAAAGTGTCGAAAATAGAGTGGAAGGTGCTGAAGAAGGAGTGCCATCACATCAATTGAACCGATGGATCCATTCTCCCCTCCAGACTCATTTAAACTAGATTTCTGGCCCGGCGAAGAGTGTTAATTGCTGTGTCTGCAATTAATGCCAAATTAATTACACATCTGCCGCTGAATGTTTGCCATTCATAATCACAGCCCGTCCGTTCGTTCATTCATTCATTTACTCCCATCTTTTGCCACTTATTCAGCCGCTCGGTTGGCCAATGATTTATTCAGCGATTGCATTCGTTGTCTAGACTTTAATTGCGGTCTATAGCTGTAAACTGAATCTATGTTGATGTTATAAAATCAGCTTAATGAATATTAATCGAAGGCCAGAGTTATGTTCGATTTGGAGCGACTGTGATATGTGTTTCTATGTTACCCAAGTCTGTTGAATTCTTTTGTTGTTCTCGTTTATTGATTGACTGCGAACGACATTTATGGAGTAACAATGGAGTCACTTAGATAATTATCAAAGGGGGGAATTTCTCTTGACCCTGATTATACTTTCATTGTTTTGGTGGGAATATCTTGGTTAACTCTTGAATAATATCCCCCTTATTATGCTCAAGGGCAGAGTGCCGCAACGATTGCCTCATATATGTTAAGTTCTGAATTTCACTTGGATTTAATTTGAGCATGACATGGATAAGTTGTAGAAACGAAATATATGATGGGAAATATATGCGGACAACTATATTGTCTCCCATAAATGATAGTCATAAAGATTGTTTGCTCAATTGCTTTAGAACTACATTTTATAAACAAGATTTTCTTTAAAGCACACAATTTATTTTTGTTTTATGAAAGTTAACGAAGGCTGTTTCTGCCATTTTCTTTTTTTTCTTATATCCATTTAAAAAGCAAACAATCATTTTAGCCAATTGCGACCTAAGGCCACTGCACTTTTATTGTATAACTGCCCCTAAAGCCAAGGTCTTTCACAATCACCGTAATAATCAGAAATTAAACTATCGCACTGATATTATTTCACCATTTCCCAAAAGCGACAGAAATGTTTGACGCATTTAAATAATTTTGCGCCTGAAGTTGTACAAATGAAATAATGGGTTCGGAAAATTATATAACCGCTGGAAGCAGCCGAAAGACGGTCACAGTTTGTTGACTGCTGACTGTTGCTTGCTACTTGCCAACACTGGGCCGAAAGGCCCATAGATTCCGAAATTGGTTAAGAGCAAGAGGACAAATTTGGTTTTCCGCGCAAGTGAATTGCGCTTTACGAGCGTGCTTTGATTGCTGCTTGATGGTATGGGATGTTATGGGACTGTATGGGATGGATACTGTGGAGCCGCAGGGGGAAGACATCCACATTGCAACAATTATTCTGCTCGATGACTTTCGCTAATAAAACGACTCTCGGTGCGGCAGAAGACGGCCCGAGGTTGACACAACCCAGACTTGGTGGAGCTGGAGATGACTTCGACTGGGGATTTTATAACACTCCGCGCCGTATAATCGCCTGCAATCTGGGGGCCTCTGATTTACAGACATGTCTTGATGCGGCAACTATTGCGAAATTAGAATGGCTGGGCGAATTAAACGAGGCCAACAGCACTATCAAATTAGTTGGGAAAATTACACCTCCTAAAGGTGCCAACCATTTGGGAAGTTCATAAAACAAATGTTGATGTTAATTTCGGGGTAAATACATATATTTAGGGGGTTCTTAAGAGCCAACAGTCTCGAGAATTGTTCGTAAAATAGGTATCCGACCTAACGGACTATTCCCAAATTAAGCGGCTAGAAAAAATAGAAGGGGTCATTAAAATATTCGCCTGGGAAAAGAACAGTAAGATACGATTTTCGAAGAGAGGTTTGGAAAATATTAGTCCAGGTGATACATGAATTTTCTTTAAAATATGTTTTCTGGTTAAATTAAAATACATTTTTTCTTATCGAGAGAAAAGTTTTGTTAATTTTGGCTTCAGGTGAAAGCTTAGACAATAAAAATAATTGATAATTCTACTTACTAGGCTTTCTGCTCAGTTTCGGTTGTGCTATCTGGCTGCGATCGTTAAACTTGCGTTTTCTTTAAAGAGTCTGTTTATTGCTTAATTATCTATATGAAACGGCCAACTTTTGATGGGTTATTAAATTTGATTTTCACTCTTTGCCATTTTGGACACTTGGCGGTTTTTCCAATTACGATTTATCTCTTCTTGCTTTTGTTTTAAATATTTGCACGCACAGTTTGGAGAATTCTTGTTTAATATTTCTCTTTTTTTACAGTCGCTGACTTTTCATCGTTTTCATGGTCAATAAAACACATTAACTCTGGTAATGGCAAATCCAATTTGAACGAAAATTTCGTTTTTGTTTTCGGATTTTTTGTTTCTCTTTTTGTTTTAACAATAATGTGTTTAATTGATTTGCATTTCACTTCGAAGCCGTAAAAAAACTGTTGTAAATATATGTGAGCGCGTTTTTTTTATTATAGCTCCAACAACAATCGCGGGCACGGTCTTAATTAATTGTTGCTGAGACCTTTTTTTCTTTCGGGCTTTATTTGTTTCTTTATTGTTGCGGCTCGAACTGAAAATATTTAATTCGCCTGTGATTAGGTTAAGCTTTTATTGCACCGCGATTTTCCTTTGCCTTTATTGTTTTTCACTTTTGTTTCGTTTGATTTCTTTTTATTTTCTCAGCACCTTTCACACGTGGGCGTTTGTGGGCTGTAAAACAAAACAGAAGTAGAGCTGTTAGTGGAAATGGGCCAACGATCGAAATAGAAACCGCATGACCAGCATCGATTTTCGGCTTCACTCTTGGCCTGCCGAAATTTATGCAAAAAGCCCTCGACAGCCATGTGATTAGGCCAAACACGCTCCGCTCAGCGGACCCTATTTGCATTCGATCCGTTGGTAGCCGAACGGAATTGCCAAAAATCGATGCATATCAGTTAGTGGGGAGTCCGATCTACCGAACAGGTTGGCACTGCCCAGGCTGCCAATCGGCCAGTTAGCCAAAGACCCAAATTGACGGCTATCTTGAGTTATGAGGCGTTATGGAAATGGAAATTGCATTTTACATTCGCGGACCACTCAAACTTGACAGTTGAAAGCGACGACGATTTAACGAATTAATGTTTCGTGTTTATAATTTCGGATCTGTGATTCGAAAGTGACAACCAAAGGGGGTCCCCTCCCAATTGATGGTCTTTAAATTCAAAGATGCTTAACTGGGTGAGAGGAACATTATCACACCAGTAATTGGGCTAACAAATTGAGTTTTCTCTGAGTTGGGGAAATTAGTCTAAATAAAAGCAACAGAAAAAAACAAACTTGATTTATTTTGGGAAAATGTGTGGGGTTCACAAAGAGCAATCAAAACTCTAACCCAAATAAACTTAATGGTGAATTAGGTATAAGTTATGTTTAGGTGAGATAGTATATAGGTGGAAAGTTTATTGTAATGTTTTTAATTTTACAAAAATATGGTTTCGTGTTATTTACTTTAACATAAATTATCTTGTTCCATTCAATTAATTTCAAATTGACGTTAACTAAAGCCCAGTAACTGAGCGTAAAGGAACTGGATTTTAAATGTTAATTTATAATACTTTTCCATTTTAATCAAAACAAATCGATGGTACTTTATTCTGATGAGCTGAATAATTAGTTGTATGCTTATTCTATTTTTATAATTGCATCTTAGACAAGAGAAGTATTAAAGATAATAAAACGGTAAAAAAGCATCGGTAAAATGGAATTTTTTTAAAATGATTAATTTTCTTCATAATAATAATTTGCAGTTTACCACTTATTTCCCTTGTTTATCTTTTCTCTTTGGCAATTGCACTTGCGACCGCTGACATTCCCCAGCTCCAAGACACCACAAGAATCACTTTCAGCTGGCTCAGACCGCAGCTTCCTGCCCCACACTCCCCTTTTCCCCGCCCCCCCGAGCCAGTGGCTCATTAAATGTGAATTTGCACTTCTTTGCCGCTTAATGGTATGCTTCCTTGTGGCACGACGACGACGACGAGTGGAAGTTGTCAACGGCCAACAATTAACTGGTGCAGAGCCCAGCCGACTCGCTGATGGCCAGTTAGCTCTCGGCCATGGCCAGATCTTTTGTTGCCAGCCCCTTGCCTTAATTGTGCCAAAGTGCTGCCAATTTTTATTGCCGACTTATCGCTTGATTTCCCCCCTGCCCTCGCACTTCTCCACTGCCTCTGCCGTGTTGTACTTCACTTAATGAATCCCGTTAGCCAGTTGCAGCCGCAAGTTGATTTTTCGCAACGCATTCGCAGAACAAACATCAAACTGCTAGCTGCTGCTGGGGACTCCGTGGAGCGCTATCAAAACTAATTTATATGCAAATGCAGTTCAAGTAGCTGCAACAAAAGACAAAGTCAAAGACGTTGGAGTAAAGTCCCTGGTGGAAAATTCACGGCACCAGCTTCGGTGGTGGAAAAGTCTTCAATAAACACTGGAAAGTGGGCAGAGTTCTGATCTGAGTTCTTCTGCTTTTGCTGCACAGCAAAAAATGGGATAATATTTTATAGAATAAAATAATATAATATGTTCTAAGCCCATTTTTTAATATGTGAAAACAAACAAACCAACATTATTTAATTTCTTTTCAAATTCTGCAAGTGTCTACCAATTATGAGTCTATGAAAAAGTATAAAGAAATTATTGTTTTAATCGAATTCGAAATGCTCTAACGACAATTGTAACCAAACAAATTGGAACTGCTATTTTGTTTTTGAATTTTAATAACTTCCTAATAATTGTACACTCTTAATGATTGTAGAGTGCCAATTAAAAATCAACACATATATTAACGTCAAAACATTTAAAAAAAAGTATTTTTTACTCTAATTCGATATTTTCCTATGAACCATTTACGAATAGAAAAATATCAAACAGACTTGAAAACATTAACATTTTTTCCTGATGCCACTCGTGCTCTCTGTGCGAAACTTCTGGCGAAGAACCAAAGAGCCAACACACACGGCATGATTTACCGTAGAGAACAACAAAGAAATTAATTAACTGCACTTGTATTAGATCCCTGTCCGGCCACCTGCGAGTGTGTTGGTGAGTATCTGTGAGTGAGTGCATTAGCTTGGCAGTTAAATGCCCCACGAGCAAGTCGCCCAGCCCGCGAGTTGGCATTTGACAGTGTCGGGAGCAGGAAAAACTGGCTGCCGCGGCATTAACTCACTTTGCATTTGCAGCTGAAAAGCCGAAGCGTTTTTCGTTGTTCTCGCTTCGTGATTTTTATTTTTTTTGTGTGCTGGCCAACAAGTGCCAAGTTGAGCGGCGATTGCAATGCAAACTGCAACAGGGGCTGCGACTAATTAGTGCTCATGTCGCCTGCCAAAAGTTATCGACTGGCAGCCGAACAGGGGTCATTATCCTGGCTAGGCTGTTATCCTGCTGTCAACATTTGCTGCGGCTGATAAGGCTTTATTTCTTAATTAGCAGCCAGTGGTGCTCCAGTTTGAGCCCCCTCGGGGTGTTAATTTCAAAATCTCAACGCGTGCCGCAAGCAGAAGTTGCTGCTGCTGTTGGTGCTGCTGCAATGCGTTGACAGCGAATGCAATTTGAACTTGATGGCTGGCAACGTGACACGCATATTAAGCAGACTCCGGAGCTCCGGTTTTGTAATATGCGAGTATGTATACGAGGCGGCGCTTTAAATACGCACAAAGCGGCCTCGCATGCGCAATTAGTCGTGATTGAGTCGCAAGTTTGTTTAAGCATCGAGAAGAGGGAGCACAAGATGAAGAAACTACGGCAAAATTACTTCGAACATGGGCACGAACGTGGAAAACTCTCACTTTTTCGACGGCTCGAGCTTATGGCTTTATGTCCTAACAGTTTTTTCCATTTTGTGTAATTTTCGATTAACAATTTCGATTAGGTTTTGCGTCTTTTTGATTGATTGAAATGTCTTGTCGGTTTCGGTTACTTCTTTTTTTGTTTCTTGATTTTTTTTTTTTTTTCTTGTTTTTTTTTTTTTGGTTTCTAGCCTCTGGGCTGAATGTTAAAGTGTGTAACAAAATTAGGCACCTTTTTGTGTATTTCTTCTGGTTTCTGCTTTTTTTGTCGTAGAATGGAACTGCAAGTGTGCGAACCGAAAAGCGAACAGCAAACAGCGAAATCGAAACCGAATCCGAATCGGAAACCGATCTGAACCGCACTCGAGCGCTGTGAAAACCAAACTGCGGCCGGCAAAGCATCAGCCAGCGCATAAAACTGCGCCAGGTGCCAAGAGAAAAGCCCGCTCGAAGAGCGTCGGAAAAAGAGAAGCCAAGATAGAGAACCGAAGACGGGTCTTAGACTCCAAAGAGAGATTTATGACGGACAAGTTTGTGCCTTAAGTCTTTCGTTTGAACAGCTGATTGCGAGCTCTTTGGCTGGCAAATTGATAAGTGCACAAATGTTTACGGCCGCGTCGACCTCGACCCCCTAGGCTGGCTAGGTAAACAAATAGCCGTGCGCACACACACATTTGGCCATCAATTTTTTGCCCCGAATGCTTTTGGCCACTTTCCCGCCCATTCCCAGACATTGTCACTGAGTAGTGACCGCCTCGAAAAGCTCACCCCCTCATCTTCTGGATAGTGATTCATGGACCGGCGATTATTTAATCTCCGTATTAGCGCAAGCTCTTTTATTTTCGACCCGTGTGCGGTTTCTTTATTGACTCACCGACTCTTGAAAGTGGGTCAGTGTTAAAGATATTTTGCCCCGCATTTGCTGGGAATTTTTATGAGTTATCAGTATAACTGTTACATAACACTGAGTGCAGCCCATTGTTGTCGTTTTACGGGGGATGCCAAAAACGTTCGAACCGATGATTCAGTTCGATTCACGCGTGGATGCTGAAATATTGGTAGCAAAATACATTAAAGCAAATATATGTGTTTGTTGTGGATCATCCATCACTGGAGACTTTAATGCGTTTTCCAAGGAACAGATAAAAGAAAATTCGTCTTAGTTAGTTAGGATTTGTCTTTCTGAATAACTACACTGTTTATATAATCATTTTCCCTTCAAAGCTAATCAATAAATAAATACTAAGTCGCAACACCTTTAAGGTTCGGATTCAGTTAATCAAAAGCATAGGTAATTAGTAATCGCTAGTCCAACAAGCCGATGTTTATGTTTTCAAACAGATCGCTGATCATTCCAGATTACTGCGAACTAATACAATTTGCATGATGGTATCGGCCCATTCCTATCAAATTTAGCTCAAATTGCCCACAATCAGCTAACCGGCTTGAAAAATTAACACTCGAACGTTTTAAATGGCCTAGCGATCAGCTTAGTGCAGTTCAACGAACGTAGATGGGTTCTCGATCGCTGATCTTGGCGAAATGAAGAAAAACATTCATTCATGCCTGACTGCGCTCTGATAAATGGATCTTCGAGTGGATTCCTGCACAGCAGAGCAGTTCAATGACAGAATACTCCACACTGATCGTTGATCGTCGACGAACTGGGGATCGTGGATCCATGGCGATTGCTGGGATCCTACTACTGAATTACTCAGACATCGATTGAGGCAAGATCATTTAACACTGTCATCGCTAAACGATCATAAATCAGCTGAGAATAAAGTTGTTTATAAGAGGTAATCAAGGGTGATCAGTGAAAATAAGAGATTGCGTTTCGGGAAAGAAAGGAGCGAAAGTTTATATAATTGAGGATTTGAA